TGAGAACTGAATCAAATTCAGTGGTTAGGGTCAAGGCGGACCTGATGGGGAAATATGATTTGGTTCTTGTCCAATTCAGTTTGCGCCCAGAATTGTGGAAAGAAGTTTTTCAACTGAAGCATCACTGTACTTAGCGTCATGCCAGGTTCATCCATGCTGTTTGTTTCTTCCTTTTTTGTTTTGGTCATTTTGAAACAGGGTCTCACAATGCAGTTCAACAAGGCCTTGCACTCACTTGCGTTCACTTTGTAGCCTGGCTGGTCTCAACTTGCAACAATCCTCCTGCCTCAGCCTCCTGAGCGCTGGGATTATAGGTGTGCATCACTACGCCTGGCTTCGTCTCCTCCCTTTTTAAGGTTGATTCTGTACCCATTGCATGGATGGACTACTGTTATGTGTATCCATCCAGCCATCGGTGGACACGTGGGTCACTTCCCCCTTTGGGCTGTTGGGCATGATGCTGCCGTGAGCACAGGTGTGCAAATATCTGTTCATGTTGCTGCTTTCGCTTCCTGGTACCTTCTGTAGACTGGCTTCTGGTGCGTTCTGTTTGCTAATATTTTGTTTTGAAATTCATGGGTGAACTTTGACCTGATCTTTGTGGCTTCGGTTTTGAGGGTGTGTTTCCTCTTTCTCTTTTTTCTGGAGGAGTTAGCATAACAGTGACTTTATTTCTTCCTTGGATGTTTGGTGGGCCTTGGCAAGAAAGCTGGCTAGGCCTAGAGGTTGCTAAAGGGGAAGATTCTGATGATTTAATTAGTTTTTTAATGGTTGTGAGGCCTGGGTTTCTCAATGTCTTGAGTTAGTTTTAGTTATGTTTTTCTAGGACTGTGTCCTTTGGCCTAAATCCTCAAAGTTCCTGGCATAAATTTGTTCAAAGTGTTTTCTTCCTGTCATCGTAGGACCGCAGCAGCCTGTTATTCCCCAGCCCGGCCTCGCCTCCCATATCAGTGTAGCCGCAGGATTTGCAGGTGGATTAGCGGTTCAGAACATCGGCTGTGGCCATTTACTGACTGTTCTGCCTGCCTTCTGCCTCGCTGATTTGTATTTATCTCAGTCACGTTCTCACCGTTGAGACAAACCCCCGAGTCAGCACCAGGGGGAGGACTTTATTCTCACTCACGGTTTAGAAGTTCCAGTCCTCGTGTGCCTGGCAGCATGGTGGAGGGGTTTGGGCGGAGGAAAGCAGAGGAGAGGGGGCAGACGCCCCCACACCTCTCCTCCGTGAGGCTGCGGGGAACACACACACACACACAAACACACACACACCCGCAGACACAGCCTAGCCGCCTTCCTGTGTGCTTGTTTGTTTTAGGGTTCCCAGGGCCTTCACCCTGAGCTACTTCAGCCCTTTTTTTTTTTTTTTTTTTTTTTTTTTTTTTTTTTTTTTTTTGAGATAAGGTTTGTCTTATTTAGACTCTAAGTTGCCCGGGCTGGGCTCACACTTTGATGCCCCTGCTTCAGCTCTCAGAAGGCTGGAGCTGCAGGCTCGAAGCACCACCCAGCGCTAGTTCTTTTTTTGTTTCTTGAAATAAAACATTTTGCCCATTGGTTTTCTTTTTCTGATCTGTACGATGGATGTGAGTCATGTGTGTGTGTGTCTGTCTGTGTGTCTGTGTTTGTGTGTGCACTAGTTCCCCTTATCCACAGGGATAGGTTTTAGGACCTCAGGATGTCCGGAACTGTGGACAGTACCCAAGTCAGTCTAACAACAGCCAGGACAACAGCAGGATAGCCCGTCTGATAACCGCGACAGCGGCAGGTACCCTGGGAGGGAGCAGGACAGCTGGAGACTCATCTTGCTAGTCTGAGAGTAGCACACAGCTTAAATCTTAGGAATTATTTACTTTAATATTCTTAGACTGTGGTTGACCACAGGCGACTGAAACCACAGAAAAAAAACTGCAGCCGGGGGCTTAGCTCAGTGGCACAAACACCTCCTGGGTCCCAAGTTCAGTCCCCAGTACCAAAAACAGTACAGACTGCGGCCGCGTCTGTATAGTACATTTAATTCTGAACATTTCCTATCAACACAGCTTTGGTTATATGCTGTGTGTGTATTTATTGCCATTGAGTTCAAAAGATTTTCTAATTTTCATTATACTTTACTTTTGTAACCATAGAATATTAAAAATGCATTTTTCAATTTCTAAGTGGAGTACATTTACTGTTTATCTTGTTGTTGATTTCTGTCTCAGAGAACATGATTTGGACTTTTACCACTTGGGCCAGGGATGCGCCTGCCTGGCAAACGTGGGGTCCTGAGTTCGATTGCCAGAACAAAAAAACCAAAAAACCAAAACCTGTCAAGACCAGATTTGTGGCCCTTTTCAACTTTTTTTTTTTTTGTCTTTTTCTTATCAGTACCAGGGATTGAACTCATGACCACACACCTGCAAAGCAGACACTCTTGCCGCTGAGCTAAATCCCCAGCCCCTCAACTGGTTTTTGTAAATACTTAATTTAAAAGCATACGGATGCTGCCTTTGCTGAGTGCTGGGTTCTGGGTGTGGCTGGTAAGCCACATTGGCAAGGAATGTTATTTCAAACTTCCAAACCTTCCATATTCTGACTGATTTTATTCATTTCTTCTATTGGTTATTTTTAATTTTTTATGAAAAAATACTGTTTCATAGGAAAGTAAGAGAATAACAGTAGTCTTTACACCGTGTATCCTTCTCTTCACAGTAGTGAGAACGTACCACAAAAACAGATAGAAAAAGATTTTTCTGTCCATTACTGAGGCTGACAGTGTGGGGATTTTGTTGCTTTTTTTTTTTTTTGCTGTTTTGTCACCTTTTACTATTAATTTTTGATGCATCCTTCTGGGGTTGGATTTTATTACTATGAAGCGTCCTCGTATTCTGAGGAAGGCTTGGAGCCTGACAGTTCCTTCCGTCTGTCCTGGCGTAGTCACACAGGTTCGCCTCTGTGTCCACCCTTTAGTCGGCCTCCTAAGTGGTTGTGTCTTAGATGTGGGTCCCGTGAAGAGCCCATAGCTGGACTTGTTCTTGGTCTGAACCTTTCCCCTTTACTCTGTTCTTCTCTGGGCCATTGAACCACTCACAGCTTCTTAATACACAGTAACAAATTTACTGAAATCAATTCAGTTAGGCCTGACTTAGCTGGATGGAGGACATGGCCAGACTGGGTTTGACCTAGAGTACGTGTCGGCCCTTTTTAAGTTTGGGTTGACAGATGCTGTCCTATTTTGCTGTGGCTTTTTCTTTTCCTCTTTTTCTTTCTGGCCTTGTTTTGGACTCACTGAGTACGTTTTATTATTACATTGTGCCGTACCCCTCATAGTTTAAAGGTACGCACTCCGGTCCGTGTGGGTCTTTTTAGTGTGTGCTAAACTCCATGTGTACGGGTGTGTGCGCTGTGCTGCTGGGAATGACCCCAGGGCCTGGTGCATGCTGGGCAAGCTCTGCCACTGAGCGCCACCCCAGCCCACATGCTCAACTCTAAAAAGCCTGCGTTTAGTTGACAGCCTTATCCTGTTCTCAGATAATCAAGCACTAAATTAAAACATCTAGCCTTATGCCTTCTTCCATCCTATCAGTAACTGTTTTTTGTATTTTAAACCTGCCTTGTTTTTGTAAGCCCCGTAGACATTATATTGTTTCATCTGCTACTTACTTAGATGCACCTGGTAGGATCCGCTGTGATAGTAACAGGTTTGCAGCATTTACCTATGCCCCTGGTAGAAGTGCCCCACCACTGCCACTTTCAAGCAACCAACAACTTAACAACCAGCCAGCAGGTTCTTAGAAGCTGGTACAAGCTGACTCCTTGGTGTATGTGCGTGAAGCAAAGAAGTCACACACATGTGTGTTTATTTTGGTAGTTTTTGTTTGGGGGGTGGTACTGGAAATGGAACTCAGGACTTCACACTTGCCAGGAGGCGCTGCATCACTGAGCTGAATCCCCTGCTCCGGGTATGTCTGTTTTGAAACAAGATCCCCGTGTGCCTGAGTTGGCCTCAGACTCAGCTCCCCCCCCCCCTTTTTTTTTCTTCCATGGAGTTTTTAGTTGTGTTTTTTTTTTCTTTTTTTGAGACAGGGTCTCACTACATCACCCAGGCTGGCCTTGAACTCACAGTGATCCTCCTACCTAGCCTCCTGATTGCCAGTATTACAAGCCTTTTTTTAAAAAAAAGATTATATAACAGATAACTCCACGTTACTCTGAACTCCCTGTCAGCATAATTTTGATTGGCTGCAAAACATGTCATTGTTTACCCCTTCTGTTGTCTCCCTAGATTTTTCACAGTCATAAATGACACTGTGGTGAATGGCCTTAGACAATGGTTTTCGTTTTATTTACCATTAATCAGAGATGGAGTTCTCAGATCCAGGAGCCAGGCAGTTGGGAGGATCTTGATACATGCCAGCTCCCGAGGGGCCGCGCCAGCAGTGATTAGGGCGCCTGTCTCTCAAGATAAGTGGGAGTTTCTTTACTAGGCTGGCAACTCAAATGGCAGAAGATGGGAGACGTAGACATCACGTAGACAGAAACTCCTCCCGTCCTGCCTGGAGCTGCAGCCACCCAGCAGTCCCCGTCCCCAGTGCCAGCTCACTGTCGCTTGTGCCACCTCAGGCCCTTTTAGGGCGCTGACCTACGTGTGGCCTGGTGAATACAGGGTCCCAAACCCCACTCATCTGCGTCTTATTCCCACCCCACTGGCACACTAAGTACTGCCAGACCTGGGTCGCGTGTGGGCAGGGCAGGCAGCCGCAGACCACTAGACTGTCTGCCGGTGGATATTGTGGCTGCTACCAGTGATTTGCCTCAGCAGCACGTGCTACTGAGTCCCCACAAGGGACCAAGGGAGCCCTGGAGCAGGGAACCCCGCCAGCCTGAGAGTGAAGTTTGTGACACAGCCTGAGCTAGGCCAAGTGCTTTCCACGCTGCCACCCCCAGCACTGCAGGGGTTAGGGCTCCGGGGCGTGGGGACAAGAGTGCTGGGCAAGGGGATGATGGCCGGGCGGGCAGAACAGCTGCCCTCCTTTCTTGTTCGTCCCCAGGGTGATGCTGACCGGGACACTATGTGACCGACAACCTGCCGAGCTTCACCTCTTCCGGAATTATGAAGCTCCAGAGGCCGTCCGGGAGCCGCGATACAGCCAGAACGTTAGCCTGAGGCCTCCAGCTCAGCCCTCAGGTGAAAACCGAGTTCCGCGCCGCTGTGGGAAGCAGCTGGCCTGGCTGCTGTGGGCAGTGGGTGGGAGTTGCAGGCTTGAGCCTTGGCCCTCCCTTTCTGATGGCTGAGGACCACCTTGTTAAAGGATTGAAAGTCTGAGCCCAGCCTGGGCAACTTAGCACCTTAGTGAAATATTAACTCAAAAGAAAAAAGCACACAGGGGATAGAGCTCAGTGTGAAAGCCCTGAGTTCAAATCCCAGTACTGGAAAAAAAAAGTTCCCAGACCTCCTCTCTTCTTGCGCTGGCCCTCAGTGCCTGGGATCTGAAGTGCAAGGTCTTATGCCAGTCCCTTGTGCCACTGGGCCACCTTCTCCCCCAACTTCAGAGCAGCTGGTATGGCAGGCGGCCCGGAGCAGCGGGGCAGCCCCCACCTACTTCCGGCCCAGTGGGCGCTTCCTGGATGGCGGGCTGCTGGCCAACAACCCCACACTGGACGCCATGACCGAAATCCATGAGTACAACCAGGACCTGATCCGCAAGGTGAGAGCCGCGCCAGGCGGGGAGCCGGGTGTGTGCATGTGCTGCAGCCAGGCACCCGCTGTGCCCCCTCGATCTGAACAGGCGCTGAGAGGGAGTCCAGGCCCCATCTGCACTGCATGACAGAGCACTCTGGGATGGCTCACAGCACCTGCGGACAGTGGGGAGCGCAGCCCACATGCCCATATGTGCTGCTCTGCCCAGGAGGGGACACATGCTTGCCCAGAGTCTGCTCTGGCAGGGACACAGTCTCTTAGTGTCCCCAGGAGCTGTGCAGGACTGGGGGGGTCTTTGCCCCGAGGCTTGCCCGAGGCCCTTGGGGACAGGGTGGCACAGAGTCAGTAGCCCCCTGCCAGGGGAGGCAACCTGCCTGGTCCTTCAGTTCAGCTGCCAAGTGGGGACAGGGACAGTGCCACCCTGGGCACTGTGAGGACTGGCAGCCATGGCTGGGAAGTGCCAGCAGGTGGGCGTCCTGAAGGCTTCAGACCGAAGTCTGTTCCTGTGAAGTCCTGTTAAGGATGAAGAGCTGGGTCCCAGAGTGGATCACCTTTCAGGTTACCAGGGTCACCCAGCAGGTCCATGCAGAGTTGTTTTGAACAGGTGCCGAGTGGCACCCTGGATCCTGGGTTCAGGTCTCTACCCTCACCGCCCATGATGTGGTCTGACCCAGCCGGCTTGGAGTCCTAGTTGTGTGGCAGGCGGTCACACCCTTTCTGAGGGTTAATGAGATAATGTTGGGAGCACCTGTAAACACCTGTCCACAGCAGAGACCAAGGAATTGTCCCTCCCTCCCTCCCTCGGCCTGACCTTGAAGCCTGCCGCAGCCTGCGGCCTGTGGGCTGGCAGGCGCACACTCAGCCAGTGGGGTGAGGCCTTGTTGGTACACACAGGGCTTTCCTAGGAGATGGGGTGACACCGTGGCAGCCCTTGTGAAAGGGGGTTAGGTTGCTGCTAGGGCACCAGACCCCACCTGCAGGCCCTGGCCACGAATGGTGTCTAGGTGTACCCAGGTGTGTTCTGGTCCTCTGGCCTCTTCTCCTCCGTGGTACCCCCAGCATCCAGCCCTCACTTCTCTCGGACGCCCCTGGGTGCACCCACCCACGGCAGGTCCCCTGCAGCTATTTCTGTCCTCCTCCCCACAGGGTCAGGGCAACAAGGTGAAGAAGCTCTCCATCGTGGTCTCTCTGGGGACAGGGCAGTGTCCTCAGGTGCCTGTGACCTGTGTGGACATCTTCCGCCCCAGCAACCCCTGGGAACTGGCCAAGACTGTTTTTGGGGCCAAGGAGCTGGGCAAGATGGTGGTAGACTGTGTGAGTCTGGGCCCTACCGCAGCCTGCTTCCTTGGGGTCTACAGCCAGGCTGAGCCTCCGGCCTCTCCTGGGGCTGAGTCTGGATCTGCCTGGTCTCCTTAGCCAGCTGCAGGGGTCAGTCCCAAGGGCAGCATCTCAGCAACGCCCCAGCCCCCTCCCGCCTCAGTGTGTGTTAAGTTCCCTCTTGGTGGGAAGTGAAGCCCTTTCTACGAAGAGCTTGGTGTGGAAGCACAGAATGTGCAGGGATAGAAGCTCCAGGGGCAGGGCCGGAGGTCCACTCCGCTACTGACCCACTGCCATTCGGTGACCCCAGACAGACTCTGTTGAGGCACACGTAAAACCCTTGCCCCTGACTGCACAGCTGGGCAGGTCCCCAAGGCTGAAGGTCCCCACTTCTGCTGATGGGCACTGGAGTCCAGGAATCTCCAGGGGCGGGGCTGCACAGGACTCTAGTGGGTTGGCGGCCAGGTGCTATGGGCTGGGCTCACTGAGGTTGCTTCTCCCTAGTGCACAGATCCTGACGGGCGGGCTGTGGACCGGGCCCGGGCCTGGTGCGAGATGGTGGGAATCCAGTACTTCAGGTGAGACAAGGACCCGGGCCACACCGCCACCCTGGCCTGCTGGGACCCCCAGATCCCCAGCCCTCTGCATGGACCTCCCCTTCCCAGAGAGCCACGGATGACCCCACCCGATGACCCCTTCTCTCCTGTCTGGACAGGATGAACCCCCCACTGGGGACAGATGTCATGCTTGATGAGGTCAATGACTCAGTGCTGGTCAATGCACTCTGGGAGACCGAGGTCTACATCTACCAGCACCGAGAGCAGTTTCAGAAGCTGGTCCAGCTGCTGCTCTCGCCTTGAGCTCCCTTCCCTGCGGCGAGGCCACTGCCACCAGCAGGCAGAGCCAGGGCCAGGCAGCCCCATGTCCCCAGGCCCACGAGGCCCCGTGGCCGCACACCTTCCACCTAAGGCTGGTCTGTCCCTCTCACCTTCCGTCACAGCCAGCTGCGGGCTCAGAGTCCACACCCCTGTCCCAGACTGAGGGACACATGTCTTAACCAGTGGCCCTGCGCCCCTCAGCTACAACACTACAGGCCCAGAGTGCCCTGCAGCCCCCAGACCTTCAGGGGAAAGCCAGGCTGGGAGCGGGGTGCCCCATTCGACTTTGCTCCTCTGTGCATCTGGTCATCCCACCCCGGAGCTGCCCCACCCTGAGTCCTCCCTGCTCTCAAAGGTCACCCCTGCGAGCTCACTTAATCATCTCTAGAGAAGTGTTTGAGTGGGAGGGGATGGGGGCCCCAAAACTGTGAAATAAATGGTTTGGACTCCAGTCTGCCCGTGTTGTGTGCATCAAGACTTCACTGGTTGGTGGGGCAGGGACACCTTCTCTCCTCCAGGTCTGCAGAACAGGCCAGTGGGGTGTCCAGAGGCAGCGGCAGGTCCACCTGCCCCTGACAGGCCCATGGGAGTGGAGGACATCTCATCTGAGAGTTGGGGTGACATTGAAGGCAGGACCCCTCAGGGAACAGGGCCATGGTCTGGCCTCAGGTCTGTGCCCCACTCTCCCTGACATTCAGAGGAATGGATGTGGGGGCCATGGAGATATAGCGCCCTCCCTGGGCATCGTCTTAGGGGCTCAGGGTAGAGATGACGGGTCTGGCCCAGGGCGGCTGTGGAGAACCTAAGAGGAGGCACCCAGCACTCCGGCCCTGGGATGGGCGAAGGGATGGACGATGCCTGGTGGCAACCAGTGCCAGGACAGCTCGGTGGAGAGGAGGTGGCCAGGAGAGTGGCCCAGCCAGTGTGCCCACCGGCCCACACTTAGCGGGGTAAATAATTGAAGGGCAGGTCACACGAACCGCCTGCGTCACAGGATGCCTTCCCCGCCGGCTCTGGTTACGCCCCAGATCGCGTTGACATCCCTGTTGGTGAATAATTAAGCGGCCACCTTCTCCGAGGCCACCTCGGCTGCAGCTCCCACTGTGCAGCCTGCTCGCTCCCGCTGAGCACCGGGCACTGCAGAGACCGACCCCGGACTGCCCAGCCCTGCTCCTACCACCCGCCTCCTGCCCGGTGCCCACGTGGCTGCCCCATGGCACCCGAGATGGACCAGTTCTACAGGTCCACCATGGCCATCTACAAGGTGAGCACAAGACGAGGGCATGGAGGTCTCTCCTGCCCTGAGAACAGAGGGCAGACGAGGGCCCAGCCGCAGGTTCTGGGAAGGAGGCCAGAGCCAGGTTGGGCCTAGCTGTGGGTACGGGAGTTGGAGTGGCAGAGAACAGTCTGTTGCACACCCAATGGGACCCCCTTACTTTCCACTCCCTACAAGGCAGGACGAGCCTGAAGCCGCGGCTCAGCTCGGGGAATCTCAAGTTGAAGGCCCAGCAGGGAGTGGGCAGTGGGGGCTCCCTCCCTCTCTGAGTTCCTCCCTCAGCTTCCTGCTGAGGAATGGCTGCAGTGTCCATGGACATTGATTGGGCACGTCTTGTATGCAGCAGCTTTCATGATGGCCTCACCAACCATCCTCTTGTGAGATAGAAAGTAACTGCTCATTGACAGATAAGAAAATCTAGATTGCAGAGGGCAAACGGCTCGTTCAAGGTCATAGAGAGAAGAGGTGCTGCTGGGATTTGAATCAAGGCCCAATTCTGAGTCGAAGTCCAGGGCTGTCTCCACCACCCAGGATGCTCCCCAGCGGGCCACAGCCTAGGGTGCCCCGTAGTGACCCAGTCACAGTCCTGCTCCCAGGGTTCTCTTCTCTGACAAGGCAAGACCTGCTCCCACCCCTCAGGGGGCCATCACAGCCCAGAAAGGCCTGGATGCAGGTCAGAGCATGCCGTGCCCAGCAGGGGAGTTAGAGAGGTGTCCTCTGAGGTGCCCCGACTCAGGGACAGCTGTGCAAGTAGCAGATGGACACAAGTGGGCCCTGGCCTGCACCAAGCCCCCAGAAGATGGCCTCAGAGATCCTGCAGCCAAGAGCCAGGGTTCCGGGTTTCCCCAGGTTCGGGGTGGGCACCCAGGACCTGGAGTCTCCCGGAGCTGGAGCCTCTGTCCACCGTTACTTCTTCTGTCTCTGTGCTGGGCCGCCCTCGTCCTTGGATCCAGAGCATCATGGAGCAGTTTAACCCTGCCCTGGAGAACCTGGTGTACCTGGGGAACAACTACCTCCGGGCCTTCCACGGTGAGCGCCCAGCTCGGTGCCCTTCTTACCACCAGCCCCTGTCCTCCCACCACCGCTATGCCCATGCAGTCTGGGCCACCCTCTCCACACCCACAGCCCTGTGCCCCCCACATCTCCAATGCTCTTGATTCAGCACGAGGTGCTGCATACTGTCCGCCCTGACACCCAGGCATTGCTATCACCTGGTCACCCCCCTCGGAACCCAGCCCAGCCCCAGGGCTACCTCTGCTCCTAGCCTACACCTGCCCATGCAAGATTCCTCGGGGACACACACTCTGCGCTGTCCCTGAGGCTGGCACCCCTTTGCCTGCCGTGCTGTGGCCGCGATAGTTTCCCAGTCCTCTGCCACTAGTGCCAGTCAGCACCCAAGCGAGGGCCACCAACCTCGTCCTCCCTCTTAGGACCTCAGATTCAAGGGCTGCTTTCCTCACCTGCTTCCTGTCTGGTCCCCCTCATCCCCAGCCCTGTCCCTGCTCTCCATGACACACAGGACAACCAGGGCACCCTCCCTCTCTCACACTACTCCAGCCCCTCACTGTCCCCTGTGCACACTCTGCCCAAAGCAGGGCCCTCAGAGAGTGGGGACGGATGCAGGGCCCGGGGCTGGACTGTCCCTTCTCTCCTGCAGCTCTGTCCGAGGCGGCCGAGGTGTACTTCAGTGCCATTCAGAAAATTGGGGAGCAAGCCCTGCAGAGTCCCACCTCTCAGATTCTGGGTGAGGCACTGCCCTCCACTGTACCCCCCTTCTCGCATAGGGCAGGGTCACTCCTCCCAATTGGCCTCCTCCCAGGCCTCCGCTGCCAGGCCTGGGCTCTGCCTTTGCCCCCTCGGAGTTCACTCTTTGGCACGCTCACCCTCCCAGTCGTGCCTCGCCCTCATCCCGACATAGGCGTGGAGCAGGCCACTCCCCACCACTCCCCACAGGACTGTGCCCCAGCTAGGATAAGCCTGGGGGTCCCCAAAGCCAGAAGCGAAATTCCTGGACTTTGGTTCTTACCTCCAGTCCAGCCGCAGGCCTGATTTCTGTGGGGGAGGGATGGCGGGGCGGCCTCCCCACGCTGAAGCTGCTGCTCCCTCTGCCTGCAGGTGAGATCTTAGTGCAGATGTCGGACACCCAGCGGCACCTGAACTCAGACCTGAAGGTGGTGGTGAGTGACGGTCCCCAGGGACTGGGGTCACTCAGGCCAGCGGGTTGCATTCCAAGATCGAGGGCTCAGCTCTCAGAATCTCTTCCAGGGCGGGCTTCTTCACCCCCAGCTGGCCCCAGTCAACACAGTGAAATAGCCGCCCTTCTGGCACCTGCTGGACCACGCTGTGCTGGGCACCTGCCCTGCGGCAGCTTGATCGGCCTCTAGCAGACCTCGGGCTGACAGAGGAGGGAACTGAGTCTCACAGACCCAGTCCCTTCCCATGATTCCCAAGTGAATGAGGGAGCCAGGAAGAGATGGACCATGGTCCAGAGAGGCCCCAGGCTGTGGTCACCCTGCCGGCCCTTCCTTCCTTCCTCCAGCCTCCCTAGGAGAGGCCACCACGTGACACCATGCTGTCACTACCCTCAAAACTAAACACAGGCTGTTCTGCAGGGATCCAGGCCTGCAGCTCCACAGCCCCTCCCTGCACCCCCAGCAGAGCCGAGGTGGCCTCTGCAGACACCGCCACTGCTGGCTGTCCTCTGCTCTGTTGAGACCTGTGAAATGCATTTGTTCCCTCCCCACAACACCTCCCCTGACCCTCCCCAGCAGATGCAGTCACCACCCCGCCGGGCCCCCCCAGCTCCAACAGCTTTGCTCCCTGTCCTGAGCATGGCAGTGAGACAGGGCTCACAGCCACGGTGCCCTGCTTCAAAGCCCAGCGCCACCAGTTGCCGGCTTGGTGACATTGGACTCTGCACCTTGATTCACAGATAATCAAACTGCCTTGTGGGGTTCTCGAGAGGATGGGGTGAATTAACAGAGATGAACTGTTTGCCTTGGCACCCGTGCCCCAGGGACCCGCTGAGAGTAACCAGAAGTAGACAGACTTGGCTGTCAATTCTCCCCAGCTCACCTGTGCTCCGCCCTTCTTGCTCTGTAGCCTGGAGGGGCCTGGCACAGAGCAGGGATTCAAAGTGAGGTGGCAGAAAGAGCATGGCTTGAGGAAGAGAGAGGGCTTCCTGGCTGGCGGAGCAGGGGCAGAGGAAGCCAGAGCCCAAGCTGGGCAAGGGGAGCCAAGTACTGGCCTTGGAAGGTCCTGAAGCAAATGTCAAATAGCTGTGGTGGCCTGAGGTCTCTAATTTACAGTTATGGTGCACTGGGGGGACACTGTAAACTACCGCTCAGTTTGGCATGGGGAGACCGGGCATCGTGGCTTGCATGGGGACTCTGGGCTCTGCGGAGACTTCGGGGTGCCTCACAGAGCCCTGCTGCATGGGGGTTGGTTATGGAGCCTGTGGCTGCCTGTCCTGCTCTTGTGTCTGGTGGCTTTCCACATCACTTATGGCATACCTGGGCTGTGCAGGGACGAGTGTCACCCAGGCCCACTCTGTAAGGAGAGCTGTCCTGTCCAGGCACCAGCAACTTGGCTGTGACAACTGGGCAGGGCCCCCCGCCAGCACTGTACCAGGCAGAAGGTGCCAGGGACACCTCCTCCTCCCCGGCTCCTTCATTCTGTAATGGTGCCCCCACTGCATGCCAGGTGCTGCTGTGGGAGGTGAGGGCACAGCGGACAGAAACCCTGCCCTCTGCAAACGGGCTGGACAAAACCCCCCAGAAGCGAGAGACAGTGTAGGTCACACGGTAGGCTCAAAATTGGCTATGGAGAAAAAGAGCAGGAAGAGGAAGGGTTTGTGTTCAGAGATGTGATTTTATTTTCTCAGTACACGGCATGGGTCCCTTTCCCCTCACACTGAGCTACATGCCCAGCCCTTGTTTTATATGTTATTTTAAGACAAGGTCTTGCTAAGTCACTTAAGTTGCCCAGGCTGGGCTGGAATTTGCAATCCTCCTGCTTCAGTTTCATAGATTGCTGGGATTGCAGGTGTGCATGAGCATGATTGGCTATATTTAAAAAATTTTTTAAAACAAGGTTTTATACTGCATTTCAGACTGGCCTTGAACTCAACTTGGAGTCCAGGGGACCTCAAACTTACAGCAATCCTCCTGACTCAGCCTGCTGAGTGCTGAGTACACCACCACACCCAACTATATTTTAAATTTTAAATTGCCAACTAAACACAGACACAGACAATCTCAGTGAGCTACAGACTCATAAGGCAAACCAGCCGCGGAGTCTCCTCCCAGGACTAGAACTTACCCAGCCCCTCAATGGGGTCCTTTCCTGAAGTAGCTGCTGGCCTGTGCGGACACTTCCTGGTCCTTCCCGGCTTGTCATCTGAGTGTACAGCCTGGGACATAAGAATGTGCTCTCGCCCTTTTTAAAATGAAATCACGTCCTGGGGTTTGTTTTAATCTGCTGGTCTCCCTGTATCTGTTTCTTTTCTTTCTATCTTAGTTACTTTTCTTGTTACTGAGACAAAATGCCTGATGCCCAAAGTTAAGGGAGGAAAGGTTTATTAGGTTCACGGTTTGTGGAGGTTCATTCCCTAATCGACTGGCTCTAAGGCAGGGCTGCATAGCATTGCAGAGGAGAAACAGCTCACAGCAAGCAGAGATGGCAGCAGCAGTCAGCAAAGCAGCAGGAGCTGCCTTATGCAGTATTTTATCCAATCTGTAAGCCTACTGATTGGCGCCACCCACACCCAAGACAGGGCACCCTGAATCCCAACATCACATGCCCTAGATCTAGCCACCTCCCCAAGCTCCCACGTGTGACCTCCTCCTTTTAAGTATTGATAGGGGGACATCGAGACACGAGCTGTAACACCTGTCTTTGTCCACTGAAGACCTGGCTGGTCTACGCAGCCTCTGAAAGTTGCTGACCATACGTTCCTGGTGCAGCTCGGGGTTTCCTCTGCTCCCTGGAGCCCCAGGCTTGGTGAAACCTGGGTTCCTTCTCACCGGCAAGACTGGGGTGGAAAAAAAGAGCAAGAAAGGAAAGAAAAACTGTGTTGTCCTCTGCTGTCAATTCGTAGGGCTCTCACATCTATGCGGCTCCCTTTTAGCCCAGCTGGTTCGCATCTGCCACTGTTACGCCACTGTCTATCACTGTGGTTGTCTGACTTTTCTCCAAGTGCCCAAGAGAATGGTTTTCTCTGAGTTTCGCAGGCAGGGCATCATTTTGTCTCTGTACTAAAAGTTAGCTTTGCAGTACAGAAATCCTTGCCTGAGGCCCCTCCCTCCCTTTCTCCCTTTATTCTTTAAAGGTTTTCCGCTGACACAGAGCATTGGACGTTTCTATGGAAAAACCCAATTATCTCTTCCACTGTAAGCCTCTTGCTCTATTTTGCCTACATGTTCAAAAGATTGTCTCACCAGCCACACCCGTAATCCCAGCACTCAGGAGGCTGAGTCAGGAGGATCGTTGTGAGTTCAAGACCAGCCTGGGCTACAAAGTGAGCTCAAGGCCAGCCTGAACTGCATAGCGAGACCCCGTCTCAAAAAGATGAAAAAAAAATCGCTTCTCTTTCTCTTTATGTCGGGTCTAGTACTTTTTCTAGATTATCTTGATATTGGTCAGTCTCGGTTAATAGTCTCAGTTATGCAATGTACTTTTCCAATATATAATTTCAATGTTTAAAGTAATTTCAAGCAACTGAAATTATATTTCTAGAATTTTTTTGTGTCCTCTCATTACATTTCTTCTTGAGGGGTTCCTGTGGTCTGTGTGTGAGATCTCCATAGCCCAGCTCTGCTATTTGTCTCTTGCCTTTGTGCCACTGAGCTACATCCCTGGTCTCTTTTGGATACCTTGACTTTTTCCTTTATTTCTACTTTTATTTTTCTCTGCCAAATATTATGATTTAATCTCTGGAGCTAGGATTGGCCCTATAGTAACATTCCTATTGTAGATATAGATCTAATGATAGACATCTACAGGTGGCAGCTTTATTGAGATATACCTCACATACTATAAAACTCATCCTTTTAAAGTCTGGAATGCAGAATTTTAGTTTTTTTTTTTTTTTTTTTGAGACAGAGTCTTGCTATGTAGTCCAGGTGGGCCTTGAACTCACTATGTAATCCAAACTGGCCTCGAAGCAATCCTCCTGCTTCAGTGTCTTGAATCCTGGGACTACAGGTGTGTACCACTATGCTCAGCAGCTTTTAGCATGTTACAGAGTTGTGCAACCATCTCCACTGTCTAGTTTAAAATACTTTTGGGCCAGGGATTTAGCTCAGTGACACAGCACCTGCCTGGCAAATGCAAGGTCCTGAGTTTAATTCCTGGTACCAAAAAACAAACAGACAAACAAACAAACAAACAAACAACTTTTCCTTTCCATCCCCTAAAAATCCTTTGAACCTAGTAGCTATCACTTTCCATTTCTTTATTTAAAATTTTTTTCCCAGTGTGGTGGCATGCCTGGAACCCTAGCCCCCTGGAAGGCTGAAGCAGGAGGGTCACAAGTTCAAGCCCATCCTGGGATACTTAGATACCTAGCACAAACTCTACCTAAAGATTTTAAAAAGCCCAGTGGGGGTGACGCCTAGGGAAGCAGCTAAGTGCGAAGGCCCTGGGCACAGAAGAGGGAAAAGCAGAGCCCCCCCCCCGCCCCCCGCACTCCTCCCCACGCCTGTGCGTGTTGATTTGCTTCGCTCACAGCTGAGCCTTCATTCCTAAAGCTGTGTCTTCTCCTTCGGTCTCTTCCGGCCTTCTCTAATTCTCGGCTGCCTGTTTCCTTCCTGTTTGTGTCCTCTCCTGGTGTCTTCTGAGGCCTGGGCCACAGTTTTCTTCCTTGGCTGCCTGCAGGCGTGTTATTGGACTTCCCATTGGATTTGACTGCAGAGTGTTGTCCTTTTCTCCTGTGAAACGTTAGGGAGTTAGGGGGCGGAGGGAGAGTCGGGAGAGGCTTTCCAACCTGCAGATCGCTTCCTGTTCCTCTTTATCTTGCCCTGAAATGTGGCGGCTCTCTTTCCCGTCCTTGCCGTGGTTTCCCAGCGCAGGTCCCCTCCAGGCTCCTGCTGGGCCTTCTCTTCCTTCTGTGCCTGTGTCTCTGGTCTTGATTTTGCTCCTGAGCTCGCAGCCTCTCCTGCTTGCTGTGGGCCCTGTCCCGGGGTGGAACCTGCTGACCTTCAGGAGTCCCTGTCACACAGCTGCCCCAGCCCTGCAGGTTCTGCTGGGGACCCCTGAGCTGCCCCCTCCCCATACTCACACACTAGCAGATCCCCGTGTCCGTGTGGGTGCCCTGACTCGGGTCCCTGGATCCCCTGTACCTTCTGCTGCCTCCTGTGCCCAGATGCTGGCCCTACCCAAGGCTCTCAGCGGCAGTGTGTGTACTGGGGGGCTGTGGGGGCCACAGCAGGGCCCCTTATCCCCAGGGGACACTTCCAAGACCCTCAGCAGAAGCCTGAAACTTCAGGGGCTTTCTTTCCTTCCACACAGGCGCCACCATGATCAAGCCTAACCTGTGAATTAGCCAAGAGATAAAAACCAAAACTAATAACCACGCAGGAGCACATAACAGTTCACTGTAGCAAAAGCAGTTGAAAACTCAGGAATGATTTGTTTCTGGAATTTTCCATCCAGTATTTGCCGATAGTGGGGGACAGCAGGTCACTGACACCGTGGAAGGCGAAATCACAGATGAGCAGGGACCCGGCTTAGTTCTGATACTGACTGAATTTCATGTTTTGCTCTGGTTTCTCCATTGGCTTTTATGAGAGACAAAGGAAGATTTGAAAACCACACTTCAGATTTGCCACTGTTGGTCCCAGAGTCTTTTTTTCTATTGAGGTAAAATTTATATACAGTTAAATAAGCAGTGCTTCAGTGTTGGTTTTTTGGGGTTTTTTGGAGACAAGGCCTCACCCGGCCTTGGCAGGGCCATCCTTTTGCCTCAGGCCCCTGAATGCTGAGCTTCCAGGCTGCACCACCATACCCAGTTTAAGTGCTGATTTTAATGAGTAACTATCATGCTAACTAAGATTCAGGACATTTCCATCAGCCCAGAAAGCCCCGAGTCCTTTTCCTGACCGTCCCCGCCCCCTGGGGCAACCCTAGTGGCCCTTGTCCTTTGCAATTGATTCACCCACCCTGGGAGCTCCACACAGCGGGGTCGGGCTCGTGCGTTCCCGCGGGTCCAGCTCCCTGCAGCAGGGGAGGTCCTGAGGTGAACTCGAGCTTGGCCCCCCTGGGATGCATGTGTCACACTTTGTGTAGCCAAACCCCGCCCCAAGGGTCAACTGAGGTGTTTCCAAGGGAGGCTCTGCAGGGCTGCAGGGCGAAGCTGCTGAGGATACCCCCTCTGCCTCTCAGTGGGGACGTGGTCAGCTCCGCGGGGCAGATCCTTGGGCGACACACACAAGTCAGAGTGGTGACAGGCTGACCCTGTGACAAGGAGCCAGAGTCCTCCGGCATCCTGTACCTCCCGTACAGGTCGTGTAGCTCTGTTCGTGCTGCCATCTGGGGAGCTCAGTCTCTTGTTTGAGTCTCACCGTGGCTGTTTGGTGTGTTGCTGATGACTAAGGGGCTTTAATGGGCTTGTTAGACCTTATGCCTCTTCTGTGAGGGGTTTTTAGCTCTGGGGGTTCATATGTAGTTTTTCTTCAGCTGTATACATGGTGAATATTGTTTTCTAAAGCTTCTCTAGGAGTGCTGTCATCTTTTTTTTTTTTTTTTTTTTTTTTTTGGTACTGAGGATCAAACTCACAACCTCATGCTTGCCAGGCAGGTGCTTACACTGCTGAGCTAAATCCCTGGCCCCTGTCATCTTTGATAAACAAAAATTTTATATTTTTTGTGACTAGTTCACACTTATATCCTATTCAGGAAACCTTTACCTGCCTCATGGCCAAAATATTGTCATGAGTTTTCTTCTAGAAACTATATTCTGGACTTTGCATGTATTTCCATGATACATCTCAAATTTATTTTTGTGTATGGAGTGAGTCAAGGTTCAGCTTTCCCTGTATGGATGATCAATTGTTCTAACCTTTGTTTTCTCTAGAGACAGGGTCTTGCTATGAAGTTCAGGGTGGTCTTGAACTCTTTATGTAACCCAGGCTGGCCTCAGACTCAGGGTGGTCCTCCTGCCTCAGCCTCCCAAGTGCTGAGATTACAGTCATGTACCACCACACCTGGCTCAACTCATTTTATTTATTTATTTATTTATTTATTTATTTATTTATTTATTGGGTACTGGGGACCTCACACTTGCAGGCAGGCACTATACCACTGAGCTAAATCCCCAGCCCCTCCAATCTATTTTAAAAGACTCCTTTACTTATTGAATTCATGTGGAGTCTTGGTCAAAAATTAGTGGTTCTATTTCTGGCCTCTGAATTCTGTCCCATTGATATATTTATCAATCCATTGGTTACTTACCTATAATCACACGGGCACCAGCCTATATCAATTATAATAGTTAAATTCTGAAATCGAGTTGTTTTAGGAACTTGGTTCTTCTTTGTGTTGAAATTGTTTCTGCCTGTTCAAGATCCTTTGCATGTCCATGTAAATTATGGAATGTGTTTGTCAGTTTCCTTGAGAGAGCCTGATGGGGTTTGGAGCCTCAGGGGCTGCAGAGGTCTGGACCCAGCGGTCCTCCTGACCTGGCCTCTTCAGATCACGACCGCAGTAGATATGTGCTCATTTTTCTCAGTAGCGTTTTGCCATTTTCTGCATGGCAGTCTTGTGCTTCTTGGCATGGACTTATTCCTGGTGTCTGATATTTTTTGACATCATTACAGGCAGCACTGTCAACTTCACTTTCCAGCTCTCCACTGGAGGTCTGAGCTGGGTGAGCACACCCAGTGCAGGTGACAAGGAAGGGCCCCAGGCCTGTGTCCTGGGGTGACCCACCCCTGGCGGGGCAGGGAGACCGAGGGGCTGGCAGAGGGCCAGGAGTGCAGCTGAGACGGAAGACAGCAGACGGAGGTGGGCCGGTGCCGAGGGAGAAGGTGTTTCTGGGAGGAGACGTGGCCAGCTGGGTGGCCGAGTCCCGTGAGCCCTAAGAACTGATACGAATTTTAGCAACAGTCGCTAGTGATTTCAACAAAACCTTGAATGAAACTCTTGTTTCATCTTTGTTTTTGCAGTACCAGGGAGCTCAACTACTGAGCTACATCTCCAGCCCTTTTATTGGTTATTTTGAGACAGGTTTTGTTAAATTGCCGGTGCTGGCCTTGATCTTGCAATCCTCCTGCCTCAGCCTCCTGAGTAACTGGTATCATAGTGGTTCAGCACCACACCCGGCCTTGACAGAACATTCTTGTTGTCACAGTGGGGCTCAGGAGGAGAGGGGTCAGGGGCTTTCCCTCACAGCTGGTGAGAGGGCTTCCGGGGGGTAATGGGACAGCGGCCAGAGTATGCAGGGTGTGGTCCCCACCGTGGGGCTGTCTGTCCGCAGCTTCCTGAGCTTCTGCATGGGGAAATTGGCTTGTACGTGACAAGCAGCTTTTCCTGGGCCCAAGGAGAGGGACAGGATGCACGGAACCAGAAAAGGAAAGAGTGCCAACTTGGACCCCACTTCTCTGCTGAGCGGCCAGGCTCCTCCAGGCGGCTGTGCCACTCCCCTGCCACCAGAGATGGCCCTGCTTTTCCAGTCCCACTTTCTGCTGCGCCGTCTGCAGGCCCATCTGGCCCTAATGAAGGCCCCCAGCATGCCCAGCACTTTAGGCTCCTAGGTACCTGCACTGCCAGTATTTATTGGTGCTCTGGTTAGAGTGGCCTGGGTATGGGGATCTGTCCCCACCCCGTGCCCTCAGAAGCCCGTCATCTATGTTGGATGATCATGCAGGTGAGGCTGATCAGGACCATACGGGTGGGGCTGGAACAGAAGTCCTGGCCTGGCTCTGTGGTGGGCAGCCGGCCCAGGTGGAGACACAAGGGCCACTCTGCGAAGTGCCCACAGCGCAGGCTCTGGAACTTCCTGTCTGCAGAAATCGCCCCGTCCACTGGCCACAGTTTCTGTGATGATCTCTCTGTATCTCTTCCGCGTTGTCCTGCACATGCACACCTGTGGGACGCTTCCTGTCTCCCAGCACACGGGCAGCCAGGTCGGGGCAAGCAGGGCTCCCTGGCAACCAGTGTTACCAAGGAGTTCAGACACTGGAATTGCAAAAATGCTGTGGAGCACCGATTTCCCGCACTCTGGGAAAAGATGACCAGCCCGGAATGTTGGGCGGACCTTAGGGGCAGAGCTCCGGAGCAGCGTGCAGAGCCAGCATGGCAGGAAGGCTCCTGGGGGAAGAGTGCAGTGTGTAACCGGAGGGCTACAGAAGTGGGGTGTCTGAGGTTGGGGGGCTCCTCAGGACCCAGGCCGAGCAGCCTTCCAGGCCTCCCACGTGTTCAGCGCCCACTGCTCCCTTGTGGGGGTCACACTCCCCCACCCAGGGCCTCAGCGGCTTAGAGTTCTTGGCTGGGCCAGGCTCTGGCCATGGTGCTACAGACCCAGAGGACGGAGCTCTGAGAGGGGCCTGCCAGTAAATCCTGCTGGCTCTGGAAACGGCACAGGCTGCGGGTTCCCCCGGGGGAAGGCACTCTCAGCAGAGCAGCGAAGAAGCTGGCATCTGCAGACGGGGAGAAAACTTCAGGCTGAGGGGATGGCACAGAGCGAGCACAGACTCAGGATAAGACTGAAAATAAGAGCCAGAGGCTGAGACAACTTCATGGGGCGGCTTTCCAGGCAGGCGCTCTGTCTGACCGTGTAGCACCCCCTCTGCCAGTGCTTCCCTCACCCCCACTGCCCTGGCAAGTGCGCAGGCGCCTGTCATTGAAAGCGCGGGCGGTACTGGGGTCTGGGTTGAAGGGCCACCCCGGTCACGCCTGTCCTGCACTCCACCAGGTGCAGACGTTCCACGGGGACCTGCTGCAGCACATGGAGAAGAACACTAAGCTGGACATGCAGTTCATCAACGTGAGCGTGGCTCCCGCCCCGCCCAGCCCACAGGCAGGGCCCCTCCACGTGGGCGGATGGGGACACCACAGAGGCCAGTGCTGGCACCAAGCGGCGCTGGGTTCAGCACACTCCCAGCTGAGGCCTTGGTCCCTGTGCAGCGCGCTCTGAGCCCTGGAACCTCTGTCCTGAGCACGGATCTCCGTTTGTCTCCGCCCTCCCCAGGACAGCCGCCAGCACTACGAGATGGAGTACCGCCACCGTGCCGCCAGCCTGGAGAAGTGCATGTCCGACCTGTGGCGCATGGAGCGCCAACGGGACAAGAACACGCGGGAGATGAAGGTGCATGGGCTGGGGCAGGCGGGCCGGTCGGGGGACCCCAGCCCAGCTGTGGGCGTCACCGGCTCTCAGGCCCCCTTCCACAGCCCTCATGCCCTTCCTGAGGTCCTGGCCATCCCCAGGGTCCCTTCTCAACCTGGGCACCCCCCCCCCCCGTAAGCCCTGCTGCTCTGAACATGGGGCGAAGTGTGACCCCACAGCACCCCTCCTCCTGTGGAATGGCGGTCCCGTCCCTGGCCGAGCTCAGTCCTCGCTCCTGTCCCTGGCCGCGGTCTACAGGACCCAAATCCATGGAGTAACCTGGGTGCCAGGCCCAGCACCGTGGTAGCTCAGCCCCCGACCCTGCCTATGAGAAGCACAAGGATGGAATAGGAGAGACACGGGGCCCTGACCCGCTAGGAAGAGGATGCCCGCCAGGGCAGCTGGGATGGGCCGGGTGCTCAGGGGACGCCTCGGAGGAAGCACGGGGACGAGGCCCTCACCCACCACCCCCAGCCAGAGCGTCCTCCCGCAGGAGAGCGTGAACCGACTGCACGCACAGATGCAGGCCTTTGTGTCCGAGAGCCAGCGCGCAGCGGAGCTGGAGGAGAAGCGGCGCTACCGCTTCCTGGCCGAGAAGCACCTGCTGCTGTCCAACACCTTCCTGCAGTTCTTCGGCCGGGTGAGTGCGCCGCACGCGGCCAGCTGCGGCCTCGGAGTGGCTGCATAGGGGAATGTCCTTCCCGCCTCCCTTTCCTGTGTAGAAATTTATCTCCCTCCCATCATCTACTTATCTGTTTATTCGTTTCTGCGTTCCCCCATCACCACAGATGCACGCCGCACCGCGCGTCCATGTGGGTGCCACTGCTTTTTCCTCCAGGACGCATATGCTGGTCCTTCCCTGCTCATCCATTGGCAGATTTGTTCAGTTATTGTTCATTTTATCGTTTCATTTAAAGCCTCTGTGCTCTTGCTTTGTCCAGGGGCTAGCCCACTCAGTTCTCGCATTTCTTGTTGCATTTCTAGTGAGTTTTGCTTTCTATATTTAGGTACCTTGTTATTGGGTGCTTGCAGTTTCTAGTGTAAATATTGGGGTTTCTCTGTAAATATTGTCTTCCACGTGCTGAAGGGCTCCCTTAATGAGTGCTTTTAAATTCAGCTTTGTCTGATATTAGTATTGTTCTTTCTACTCTTCTGTTTCTTTATCTCTTTCAGGTGTTTTTTTGTTTGTTTGGTTTGGTTTTTTGAGCTAGGGTCTCAGTGTTGTTAAGGGCTGGCCTTGAACTCACTGTGTAGCGCAGGCTCACCTCCAGCTGGTGGTGATCCTCCTGCCTCAGCCTCCTAAGTGCTGGCACTCTAGGTGTGCAGCATCGTGGTTGGCTATTCTGAAGCATATTTCCTGTTGCTAACATGTGGTTCCTGGCCAGCTGGACAGTCTCTTCTGTGGTCTAAGTGGGAATTCAGCCCACTGTCATTAATAACCGACTGATACACCTGGGTCTCCTGCTCCTAGATGTCTTATTTACTGTGTCATTTTCTCCTTTATCCCCCTCACATTCTGCCGAGAAGGCCGATTACTGTATATTCCTCTTTCTCCCTAACTAATTGGGAAGTCCTACCCGTCCTCTCATCTCATGGGCACTTCACTGTGTGACCCTCAGGAGCACTCACACATTCATCACCGCCCTAAGACTGCGCAGCTGGCCCTGCACTTCCCTGTGGGATGTGTCTTGGGACCGCTCACAGTTCCCTTTGTCCTCCATGACTCCTCCCCTCGGTTTTGCCGAGACAGCCAGGACCTTTGGGTCCAAACTCTGCCCGGTGATCTCTGCAGCCTGGCCTTGTGTCTCCAGAATCTTAACCTCAGTGATCTCCTACATTACCTTGCCTGGTGCCCCATGTATTTTGCCCTGCCCAGCCTGTGAGTAGCAACTAGCCAGGGAGGCTCCGGGGCCCAGGCCCTGTGCCTTGTGGTCCCAGATGCTGTCCCCTGTTCTCCAGCACCTAGTACTCACCAGGCAGAACCTGGTGCTGCCCTGGCCCTGGCCCTTTCTCTGTGGATACTCAGGGTCGTTCTCTAGACCCCCGGGGCCCAGGAGGCTCTTCCGCTGGCTCCTGAATGGTGCCTTCTTTCCCTGCCCATTGGGGCCACCCATCTGTGAGCTTGTCCCTCACTGAGTCCTCTTGTCTCCTGACCTGCTGGGCTATCAGCTCCGCCGGTCCATCCTCTTTGCTCAACCTCCAATCTTAAAATCTCGCCCTGTGTGGTGTGAACACCTCTGTTCCCCAGCCAGCTCCGCCAGAGGCCAGGGCAGTGCAGCGTCACCACTCCCTGCTGCCCTCAGGGCCTGCCGGGTCCTCGCCTTGGACCCCTTCACCTCCTTAGGCCCTCGTCTTTACCTCCACAGGTTCTGCTCTCACCCTCCATCGAATTGAGCTTCGAGAGGCTCGGGCAGCAGGGCTGGCAAATCTGGATGGGTGGGCAGTGCAGTGATCCTTTCCCCAGTCATGGGCTCCCTTGGCCAAGCGTCCAGTTTTCTGCCATGGTGCAGGGAGGACCCCACTTTGTCCAGGTTCCCTGTTGCAAGCAGAGGCTCCTGTTTAGTCTCAGGGACAGGGATGTGTTGGTGTTCACCTCTCTATGTGAAGGACCAGTGCAGATGGGGCTGGTCGGGAGGGTTATACAAGGTGTGCACTGCACAAGGGGCTGGGTTGAGAGCAGGGGCTGGGCTCTGCCCTCCATGTTGAAGGCACTGGTGCAGTCTGTGTTTGTCTGGAAAAGGAGCAATTTTGCTTTGCAAGCAGAAGTCATCCTGTCCTGAAGTATGCGTACTAGACTATCCACCCAGAGGGGACACCTGGTCTTGCCTGACCCCAAGAAACACTGCACTCCAGCTGCAGCCAAGCCCATGGGCTCCCTAGCTTAGCAAACCCAGCAGCCCTCCTCGGCCACATGCAGGACAGAGCTCGGTGCTGCCCATGCCAAGCAGCCGTGCAGTCCTGGTCCTGGCCTGGCCAAGAGCCTCAGGGCCGTCTTCCTGGTATTTCCCTGTAAGCAGATGACTTTGTCCCTTAACATTCTCAGAGCCATCCATGCATTCATTCATCCTTCTTAGCCCAGGTGACACACCAGTCCCCACTTCTCCTGTGTCTGAATGCCCTTGTCCCTGGCCGCCCAGCCAGCAGACGCGCCCGCGCCTCCCCCAGCCCCGCCTCTCTCCGTCTTCACTCTGTCTTCCTGTTCCTGCTGTTTCCCAGCTGCCAGCAATGTCCGGTGAGGGATTCGTCTCCCTGGGCCTCTTTTTCTGCTCTGGAAACCACCCCAGAGTCAAGGTGGAGATGGCACTGACATAGGAGGGACCCAGTGGCACTCAGTCCTGGCCCTGCCTGTCCCCTTGGAGACTGAGAACAAAGTGTCCCTGCATCGGGCTGCCCTTACGTGCGCCCACACACCCCTGCCCGAGGTGCCCCAGGGCCTCCCCTGCCAGGCCCCGCAGGGCCTGTGTCTGACCAGGAAGGCAGGCATCGCTGGTCGTGGTGGTGTCACCTTCACAAGGACCAATTCATAACAGAACCAGCTGTCCTCCCTCGGCACCACGGTGGTCTGATTACCTCCTAGAACTGTCCACTTTTCCTTTTGTCCTTCTTTCCCTCTTCTAAAATAATTTTTGAGACAGGGTCTTGCTAAGTCGATAAATTGCTCAGGCTGGCCTCAAACTTACAATCCTCCTGCCTCAGCCTCCCAGAACATACCCCCACTCCCGGCCAGCCCTACCTCGAAAGGCCCCGGCACCTCTGAGCGTTTTCTTCTGTTTTTCCACGTTGTCCTCGATTCTTTTCCTTTGCCCATTCACCAGTTGAGGGCATCAGGGTTACCTCTGCCTTTTGGCATCAGGAATTGCACTGCTCTGAGTGTCCCATGCACCTTCTCGGGGGACACATTTGCCTCCCCCGGCCCCTCTCCAGGCACCTGGAGTGCCCTGCATTCCGTCGTGAGGCCCTTCCCAGGCCTGGGCCACTTCCATTCCCATCAGGAGTCTGCGAGGCTTCTGACTTCTCCGTGTCCTTAACAACACATCCCTGTCACTCTCCACAATCTCACAGCCACCCCAGTGGGTCATGAGTGCAGAACATGCACTTCCCCAGTGGCTCGCGGTGGTGACCAACCGCCAACCGTCCTTTGCCTTGGGCCACACTAGTAGCCCATTCTGTCAGCTGGAAAGGAGGCTCTTCCCTCCTGTCTCCTAACCACCAGCCTTAGGACAGCTGGCCCATGCCCGGGCTGCGCCTTGCCAGCAGGGGGCGCCCTGGAGGAGGGAGCCGCTGGAGCAGGGAGGACCAAGTGTGGGGGCACCTGACCCACCTGGGCTTTAGATGCCCAGGAACTGACTCCTAAGATTCTTATTACTATATTCAGTCAGCGCACAGGCAGAACGAGACTTCAAGACTCAGAAGTACCTGGAACAAGAGGGCATCTTTCTCATTCATCTGCAGAACTCAGTCCTCTCTCGGCCCGATCTTAGTTCCTAGCTCACCTCTCTCCTCACCCACAGCCTCTCTGGGGTCACTGTGTTTGCGCAAATTATCTCCAGATGCCTAGAATGGCATTGGAGAGACCACAAATACGGGCTTTAACCAGAGCATGGTGACACACATCTGTCACTCGAGTACTGAGGAGCTGAGGCAGGAGGATTGCAAGATCAATGCTGGGCAATTTAGCAAGTCCCTGTCTCAAAATAAAAAACCGGAAGGGCAAGGGATGCACCTCAGTGGTTAGAGCACTCAAGAGTTTTAAACCTAGTGCCACCAAATAATAATCATCATCATCATCATCATCATCTAGGTTCTGTGGGTTCCCATCTCCCTGGCAACAGTGTGTAAGCAGACTTTCTGCTCTTGGCTAATCCGAGAGGCGAACACGGCTTCACTGTGGCTTTACCTGCTGCTCGTTTCTAGGTGACACTGTGTTTCAGTGCCCTGGGTTTTCTCTACAGGGGCTTCCCAGTCTTCCATCCTTCTTATGTCGCTGAGATAAATATGCTCATGATGAGTTGCAACTGTTTGGCAGTTTGCCATAGTCTTCACTTTCATGTAAAAAGTTATCTTTAGTCAAAATCATTGGCCTTTTAGAGTTTATGGGTTTTGGCATAGTCAGCATGGCTTTTCTTTTTTTTTTTTTTTTTTCTTTTTCAGCATGGCTTTTCTGCTGCAAAAAAATTTTAGGTTTTTTTTTTTTTTTGTCTTTTTCCTTTTTATTGGTACCGGGGATCAAACTCATGACTGCCTGCTTGCAAGGCAGGCGCTTATGCCGCTGAGCTAAATCTTCAGCCCCAAAATTTTTAGTTTTTAACTTTTATTTATTCCCCTCCCCTCTCCTTCACCTCCCTCTCTTGCATAAATATTTCAAATTTTTTCCAATTTTTAATTTTGAGTCAGGGCTAATCGCTCAGGTGAACTTGAACTCATAGTCCTCCCACCTCAGCCTCCCTAATCCTCTATGATTTAGAAATTCTAGCTTTGCACAGTGTTTCTTTCCATGCAATGGTTGACCGGTCTGGGCAGGGCTGAGGGAAGCCAGTGAGTACCATCCTGGTGGGGACTCGATGCTGGGGTGGCTGGCCCCAGAATCCCTGGTCCTCCACCAGAAGCTCTCCCATTGGACAAAAGACCCTCTGAAAGTGTGATATACGGACCTCAATGATCTCATGTCACACACTGCCCCCAGACAAGTGCCCAGAGCCCTCCGGGGTTTGTCTCTGGGCTGCTTTGTCAACCAGTGCCGGCAGTGAAGCATCCAGCTGCTCCCTGGGGGTGAGACGCGGGCCGTTTTCGCTGCCTGGCAGTGCAGTGAGGCACTAAATAGTGTGGTCAGTCGTGAGCGGCGTTGTCCAGGAAGGCCATGCCCCTGCCACCTGGATGTGGCGCCTGCAGCTCGGCACAGCACCGAGTGCCTCCAGCCACAGCATCTTCTGGACGATGGAGGAGATGGCGGCACCTGCCATGGGAAGCGTGAGGCTTGGGGAGGTCATGCAGGCTGAGCACTGGGGACAGGACAGAGCGAGTGCTCCCGAAGGGGACCTTTTCTTATCCCTGAGGTGACAGTTTAAAGCTGGTCTTGGGGACAGGATGTTTGAATAGAAAAGGGTTAGGCTATTATAGCAGAGAACACTATTTGTTGGTCCTTTGTTTTGTGATACTGAGGCTTGAACTCAGGGTCTTTGCACTGAGCTACACACCCAGCTTTTTAAATATTTTTTGGGACAGGCTCTTAGAGTTGCTAAATTTCCTAGACTGTGCTTGAACTTGTGATCCTCCTGCCTCAGCCTCCCAGAGGGCTGGGATTGCAAACATGGGCCACCCCACCCAGCAGAGCACTGTTTTGATTATACCTGAGATTCTACCTGCAGTAGTGACTGAGTGACAACATAGAGAGGTCAGTGTCACTGACCACTACTCACATAAGTGCCACATAAGCGCTTCTGTGGGCTGCAGGGATAAAGAAAGATCTCTTCTTAAAAATACCCAAACTTGCTGAAAGAGAAAAAAGTATTACCTTAGCTACTTGGGAAGCAGGATTTCAGACAAAGCTGGATCCAGGAGCACAAAAACATCTCATCAGACCTTTGCCAGTATCTCTTGCCTAGGTTTCAGCTCCCCACCTTGGCTTCCCTCTACTCATCTAGCAAACTACAGACAGATAGAACAGTGTATGTTTCCAGTGTTCCAGGGTCAGTTCTGGGACTGGGTTCTCGGGTCACAGTTTGAGGGTAGGGGCCCAAACTGAGCTCATCCAGGACCAGGCCTGGGTTCACCCCATCCCCGAAGCTGTGCAGAGCCCAAGGACAGCCCTGCCCAAACCACAGGGACCCCGAGGGAGGCAGGGGAAGCCCCACAAGGGAAACTAAAGCGCCTTTGGCAAAAAGCAGAGCCGAAGTGAAGGTAGGTGGGGTGAGGTGACTCAAAGTGACCCCTCTGCGGGCTCCAGCTGCAAAGTCCCCCAGCAGCAAAGTCCCTCCAGCTGCAAGGTCCCCCAGCTGCAAGATCTCCCTGCAGGGGCCCTGGCCCCGATGGTGCCTGCTGACCCCATATCCCCGCCAGGCCCGGGGGCTGCTGCAGAACCGCGTGCTGCTGTGGAAGGAGCAGGCCGAAGCCAGCCGCGGCCCGTCACGCGCCCATTCCCCCGGCCTGCTGGGCCCCGTGCTGGGGCCACCTTACCCCTCGGGCCGCCTGACGCCCACCCGCCTGGACATGGTGAGGCCCTGGCCGCCCCTGCCGCCCTTCGCGGGGCCCTGGCCGCCCCCCACGCTCCCGCTCTACGCCGCGCCTCCCGTGCCGCCCTTCCGCCCCGGCGCGGCCACGGCGCCCCCCTGGTGGCCCGGCCGCTGGTCTCACAACCCCTACGCCGCCGACGCGTGGGGCTGGGGGTGGGGCTGGGGGCGGGGCTGGGACTAGGCACCGCCCACCCGCCCGCCCCGCCCCACCGCCCCTGCCCTCTGCCCCGCAGCCCCCGCGGCCCCTGGGCGAGTTCGGCTCCCCGCGCAGCCGCCACGGCTCTGGCTCCTACGGCCCCGAGCCCGCCGAGGCGAGGTCCGCGTCGCAGCTGGAGCCCGAGCGCCGGTCCCTGCCGCGGACGCCGTCGGCCTGTGAGTCCCGGCCCGGGGCGGGCGGGAGGGGGCGGCGGCGCGAGCTGTCACCCACGTGCGCCGCGCTCCGCCCGCAGCCTCGCTCTACACCGGCGGCGCGCAGCGCTCGCGCTCCAACTCCTTCGGCGAGCGTCCGGGCGGCGGCGGGGGCGCCCGCAGGGTCCGCGCGCTGGTCTCGCACTCCGAGGGCGCCAACCACACGCTGCTGCGCTTCTCGGCCGGGGACGTCGTGGAGGTGCTGGTGCCCGAGGCCCACAACGGCTGGCTCTACGGCAAGCTGGAGGGCTCGTCCGCGTGAGTGGGGCTGTCGGGGGAACCTGCGGTGGCGGGAGGGAGAGATCAGGGCCATAGAGCCGGTGGCCTCCAGGACTGGGCTTTCCCATCCCCTGCATTTTAGGTTGTTCTTTCCTCCGATCCCCAGCCTGCCTCAGTTTCCCCATAAGTTGCGTGGGGGATAGGAAGAGCCTCCTCTCCGAGTTCAGAGGGACAGTCCTTGAAAGGTGGAGATAGTATAGGAGGGGTTGCCAACCGAAATCAAGCCAGACCTAGTACTGAGGCAGGACTGCAGGTGGAGCCCCGCGTGGATTACACTGTGAGATCCTGTCTCAAAATGAAAAAGCTGAAACCCGGCCATGTTACTGTTTTGACTCCCGGAGTGGAGCACGGATCACGAGGGCAGTGCAAACGCTGCATCTCCAGAGAGCCTCTCAGAGCGGGGAGCGGGCAGCCAGACGGGGTGTGCAGGGCCCTTTTGCTGCAGGAGAAAAGCCGGGAGAGAGACTGGTTGCTGGGGATCAGGCAGTACCCCTCACAGGGCTTTATGGGGAGGCCTGCAAGATGCCCACTCCCACTCATGCTCCAGGAGGAAGGAGGGAGAGGATGGGGGGAGGCGTGAGTGAATGAACAGTGGGTGCATGCATTGTTTGGGGTGTAGGTGGTGGTGTGGGTTTGCACACAAACAAGTGGGTGCATGTGTGTGTTTATGGGTGGATGTGGTGGCCTGCACAGGGGTGGCCGGGGAGGTGTGTCACTGAGCTGTGGGTCTCGGATGGAGAGCCTGTGCAGTGCTGATGGCCCATGTGCGTTGCCTGAGGTGGGGAGGTAAGGTCATGGCCCAGTAGGTGCAGAAGGGGGCCAGGACTGAGAGATGACTGAGACCAGGAATGGGGTGCCCCCGGATGAGATCACAGAGTGGGGCAGACTTCTGGGGACCTGTTTGCAAATCTTCTAGAACGGTGGTAGCAATTTATGGCAGCTGTTTGTTACAGAAAACTCTAAAAGCTTCGGCATCACTGTTCTGGGTGAATGTCACTGTTCTTTCAGGGGCCCACTTAGGGAAAGTGACCACAAGGTGCGTCCTCAGTAGGCACTTCCTGGTGAGGACTGAAGGGCACACAGGGAGATGGGTCTTTTCTCTCGGTTGGAGGTGGCACCGTTCTTGGGTGCCTTTTGGTGAGGATGCCACTGAGCAGGGTTTTTGGGGTGTAAGGCAGCTCTTTGAAGAACATTTCCTGAGGAATTCTGTTCTGCAAGTGAATCTCCAGCTGGGCAGACTCAGAGCGAAGGCTGCGTGCCTGGAGCAGGGTGCAGCTCTGGGTGAAGCGGTCTCTGCGGACTTGGGGTTGGGACAGAGGGAAGATGCTGGGCTGCAGTGGGAGGAGCACTGGGTTTGCAGTCAGGCGTCCTAGGCTTCTGTGCCCCTTCCTCTGGGCACCTCTGTGGCCCCACCCACCCACCACCCTGCTGCCTTGGCTTGTCACCAGCCTGTATGTGGGTCTGTCACTCCCCAAGGCCGGGAGCTTCTGTGAGGGGCACACATCTAGCTCAGCTCACTGAGTTGGGGCACAGTGAGTAGGCCAGAGCCACATCTTAGTCCGGGGACTAAGATGGCACCCCAGTGGGAGATGACGTGAGAAGGGCAGGTAGAGTTGGACGGTGAGACCCTGAATGCTGGGAAATACTTCCTCTTGGGAGTAAGCAGGTCTCCAGCCCTCAAGCAAAGCCAGGCACAGGACAGGGAACAGTATTTGGCTGCTCTTCCCAGAATTATTTCAGCCTGAGGTCCTGGGCTTGTTCAAGGGCATCTCTTCCTCTGCCCCTGCAGGAGTGGCTGGTTCCCCGAGGCCTATGTGAAACCCCTGGAGGAGTTGCCTGTGAATCCCATGACCCCCTTGAGCCCCTTGACTGCCATGAACCCCGTGAGCCCCATGAGCCCCATGAATGAGCTGCCTTCCAGGTACCTGGGTGGGGTGGGGCTCGCATGGGGGTGTGCCTGGTCATCTGTGAGGTGCAGACTGGGGCCTGATCCCTTCCATCCCCAGAGAGCCATCCTGCCACCCCACCTCTCCCTATCAAAGGCCATCATGTCCCCCACCTGCTTCCCGGGTGCAGGGTAGGGGCCCAGCAGCTGGGGTCTGAGCATCAAGGGCAACCCCAAACTGGACCCCAACCTGCTCTGAACTCAGGTCCTACCCACTCCGTGGCAGCCACAGCCTTAACGACCTCCTGGACCCGCCGGGCAATTCTACAGCGTCCCCAGAATACTGGGATGGCCAGTCCCGCCCCCAGGCTCCCAGCCGGGTCCCCAGCCGTGCCCCCAGCCCTTCACCCACACCCTTACCTGACAGCCACCGCAGCAGCAGCATGGGCACAGCCAGTGACGTCAAGGTGAGGTCCCTCTGCCTGTCCTCAGCCCTAGACAGGGAGGTGGGGACCCAGTGACCCCCTGCCCTGCTAGTGGCTCCAGACAGGGAACCCTCCACAGGGTCCTGCTTAGAGCACAGACAAAGACCCTCACCCTGCTCAGGACAAAAAGATCAGGGTCCTGGGCCAGAGCATGCCTGGGGCCACACAGCAGAGGGCACCTCCCCCTGGGGTCTCCCTATCTATCCAGAGGCCAGTCGTTGGTGGAGGAGCTCTGGTCCCCAGAGCTGTGTGAAATTTGAAACCAGAGAATTCTGGCCTCCCACCGACAGGTGTCTTCTCCCAGAGTTGGCAGGGCAGGCCTCTCTGGCCCAGTGCCTCCTGAGGTGGGGACAAGGACAGGAGAGGGTAGGGGGACAAGAGAGGGTGGGGACGCGCTCACTCCTTCCTCGCCGCCCTGGCCTTCCTCCCTCTACCACAGAAGCTCACCGCCTGGGAGCAGCAGCCCCCGGAGCTCTTCCCACGGTGAGTCCCCGCCTCCCTTGGGCAGGAGTGGGGCGGAGCAGGTGACCTATGGCCCGGGCAGCAGGAGGGGACTCCTGGCCTGCTGCACTCCTGGGTGCACAGCCACTTGGGGACCTGAGCCCTGCTCACCCCAGCCTTCTCCCTACAGGGGCACAAATCCCTTTGCCACCGTGAAGCTGCGTCCCACTGTCACCAACGACCGCTCGGCGCCTCTCATCCGCTGAGGTCCTTCCTCTGTGGGGTCTGAGGTAGAGCTGCACACCTGCCCAGGGCTGTTCGGAGCCGACAGCGGTGGCAGTAGCAGTGGTGGCTCCAAGACGCCTGGGCCCTGATACACGGGTGGCTGTCCTTCCCAGACCACCGAGAGCCTAAGCGGCTCCGGGCGCTGACCTGCGGTCCAGGGCCTCAAAGTACAGCAGGCAGAATTGGGAAGCGGAGCAGTCCCTCCCTTGCAGGGGCCCCAGAACTCACCCAGGGGACCACCCTCTTCTCCCCAGCCTCTCTCCCCACCCCCGCCCCCGTGGGGAGGAGCCTGTGTCCCACACCTGCCCACCCCACAGGTCCCCACTGAACTTTTATAAACGATGAACAATAAAGGATGCTGACATGGCAGCCGGAATGGTCCCGTGCCTTGGGGAACGGGACCCCATGGGGAATGGGATCTAAAGGCTCTGAAGGTCCTGGCTGCTCCCTGGGAGGCCTCACCTTTGGAGTAATATTTTAGAGCTGCCCTCAGGCCACGCCTTCCAGTCTCTGCCCCGTCCCAGGAAGCAGTGGCTGCTCCATGGTGGGGAGAGGGTGGCAGTGGCCCACGTGTGGACCCCAGCACCTTCCTCTCTAACGGCCCCTGGACACAGCACCCTTTGTTCTGGCCCTGCCACCCCCACGCCGCATGCCTGAGCCCCTGGATTAGCTTGGAAAGCCGGGAGCCCTCCTGGAATGTGGCCGGCAGGGGCACACGAGGACTGGGGGCTGTGTCCCCCAGCCCCAGGCTAGGATCCTCTGGGCTCTGTGTCCTCTGCCTGAGGCCCCCGGAGTTGGAGGGGTCCCCTTAACCCTCCTGGCCAGGCCAGGCCAGGGGTCCCACTCACAGGCCCTGCTGGCTCGGTGCCCGTAGTCCCCCAGCCCTCTCCCCTTCCTGGGCCAAAGCCTCTTAGCAGGAGTGAGGTGGGGGCCGCTCTAAGCCCCAGGCCCGAGACAGGGAGTGAGCTGGCAGTGGTGATCGAAGGCTGCTAGGTACGGGGAGTCTGAGCCCCAGCTGGGTCAGTGTCACGGGAGCCTGCGAGGCCAGACGGTTCCCCCTCCGCAGGCTTCAGGAGATGAGGCTGATGCCCAGAGCAGGACAGGCCGGGTGAGTGCAGGCTAGCTGCTGCTGGGACCTGGGGCCAGGGGAAGAGGGCAGGGTCCCAGGTTCCTCTGGGGAGGGGGACCAGCCTTGCCCAATGCCAGTAAGGACACTCCAAGAACTGAAGGTACAGGGTAACGTGGCCCAGTGTGCCCTTAGGGTCTGTAACCAGGATGCAGAGGCTGCAGAGAACCCTCAGGTGCTGCCCTTGACAGGCAGGGGAGCCAGTGTCCATGTGGGGAGGCTTTGGGAGTGCTGGGGATGGAGGGCAGGTCTCTGGTGCTCCTCCAACCCCTCTGTGAGGCTTCTAGCTGCCTAGATAAGATCAGCCGCCCATCTTACAGGTGGAGAAACTGAGGTCAGCAAGACAAGAGCTGGAGTGACCCAGATCTTGGGTCCCTTGGCTTCTGAGACAAAGCTAATGTGTGTGACCTGGGTTCCCCTCAGTGTTCCAGTGACAATTGTCACTCCCATCATCAAGAAGTAGGAACACACAGTAAGGCCAATAGGAAAACAGGCCACAGTCCAGCCTGCAGCTGGCGCCTGTCCCACAGGGCGTTCGTTCTGATTGTCCTGAGACCCTTGTGTCTGCTCCTCAGGGACACTGGCAGTCCCTGGCATACGTCTGCACACACACTGGCTGCCCTGCTCTCACACCATATCCTTTCTGCTGTCACTAGGGCCTGACAGGGAGAAACCCTCCCAAGGGAGCCTTCCTGACGTCCAGGCTCAGGTGGGACCCCTAGTGCTCTCCCGCACCTCCACAGCCCCTGGTGGGGAGGGAGGTTTGGGCCGCGCCTCCTGCCTCAGTTTCCCTCCTGGTTCCACCGCAGAGAGGGTTCTGTGGGTAACTCATGGCCTCAGTTTCCCCTCCAGGCCCCCCCCCACACACACACAGACCCTGCCAAGTCCTTGTCTTCCAGCAGAGGCGGTGGAGATGGGAGCTGGCGGCCCCCGGCGGGGTGTGGACCCCCCAGACGGCGGCTGGGGCTGGGTAGTGTTGACCGCCTGCTTCGTGGTCACCGGCTTCGCCTATGGCTTCCCCAAGGCCGTGAGCGTCTTCTTTCGCTCGCTCATGCGCGACTTTGGCGCCGGCTACAGCGACACGGCCTGGGTGTCCTCCATCATGCTGGCCATGCTCTACGGCACGGGTCAGCGCTCTCCTGAGCCTCTGCGGGGCCCAGGGTCGGGCGCGGGGAAGGGGATGGGAACCCCGTTTCCTGCGGAAACTCTGGCACCAGAAAAAGGGGAGCTGGGGCAAGAAAGGGACAGGAACCAGTGTAGAGCTGGCCCAGGTAGTGGACCTGGCCAGCGGGCGGGGCACCTCTGTCCCCACAGACCCATGAGGCCGTTCCCGCAGTGAGCGAACAGACCTAAAGGCAACTTCCGCAGCGGCTCCATCACCTGTGTGCCCGCGGGTGGTGGGGTGCCCGGCGGGGTGCTGAGCCGGGCAGGGGCGCCCGGAAGAACCCAGCCATGCGGACGGAGACTGCCAGGTGGAGGAGACGCGGGTGTGTGAAGAGGATGAAGTGGAAGCCACCGTTGCTGAGGGTTACGGTTCCAGATGGGGTGGGGCTGGGGGGCTCCAGGCCGAGCCTCCCCCCACCCCGCCACCTGCCGGGCTCACTGGAGCAGACACTGCGCCCCATGCTGGGTCTGCACCTGGGTGACCCTATTCCTCCAACGAGTCACCTTCCAGGGCTGGGAGGTGCAGCGTCTGGCCCAGGTTCCCCGAGGGGAGGGTGGCCCGGCCCACGGTGACCCTGCCTGCCCACAGGGCCCGTGTCCAGCGTCCTCGTGACGCGTTTTGGCTGTCGCCCGGTGATGCTGGCGGGCGGGCTGCTGGCCGCGGCGGGCATGATCCTGGCCTCCTTCGCGCGGCGCCTGCTGGAGCTGTACCTGACGGCCGGCGTGCTCACAGGTGAGCGCCCCCTGCGGGTGGGGCGCGGCGCGGGGCGGGGGGCCCTGCTCGAGTCCGGTCCCCAGTTCCCCACGAGGGCGGGGCTCATGTCCCTGCCCCGCCGCGCCGGCCCGGGGACCCCCGCACAGCACCGCCTCGCCCGCAGGCCTGGGCCTGGCCCTCAACTTCCAGCCGTCGCTCATCATGCTGGGGCTGTACTTCGAGCGGCGGCGGCCTCTGGCCAACGGGCTGGCGGCGGCGGGCAGCCCGGTGTTCCTCTCCGCGCTGTCGCCGCTCGGCCAGGTGCTGCTCGAGCGCTTCGGCTGGCGCGGCGGCTTCCTGCTCTTCGGCGGCCTCTTGCTGCACTGCTGCGCGTGCGGAGCCGTCATGCGGCCGCCGCCGACGGGCTTGGGCCCCCGGCCGCGCGCGGACCGCGCCGAGGACCCCGCCGCCGGGGACGCGCCCGAGGACGCGCAGGCCGTGGGCGCGCGGCGAAACCCGCGCGACGCGCTCCCTAGCGGCCGGGCCCGCCGGCGCCTGCTGGACGTGGCCGTGTGCACCGACCGTGCCTTCGTCGTGTACGTGGTCACCAAGTTCCTGATGGCGCTTGGGCTCTTCGTCCCCGCCATCCTGCTGGTGAACTACGCCAAGGACGCGGGCGTGCCCGACACAGACGCCGCCTTCCTGCTGTCCATCGTGGGCTTCGTCGATATCGTGGCGCGGCCGGCGTGCGGAGCCCTGGCGGGTCTGCCGCGCCTGCGACCGCACGTCCCCTACCTCTTCAGCCTGGCCCTGCTGGCCAACGGGCTCACGGACCTGGGCAGCGCGCGCGCGCGCTCCTACGGCGCTCTGGTCGCCTTCTGTGTGGCCTTTGGCCTCTCTTACGGCATGGTAGGCGCGCTGCAGTTCGAGGTGCTCATGGCGGCGGTGGGCGCACCCCGCTTCCCCAGTGCGCTGGGCCTGGTGCTGCTCGTGGAGGCCGTGGCCGTGCTCATCGGACCGCCCTCTGCCGGTGCGCCCCGGAGGAGCAGCGGGGGGCGAGGCTTAGAGTCCTTAGTGCCAATTGAAACTTCCAGGGATGTGGGGAAGGGACCATGGCAGAGACAGCCTGGTGCATGGACCCCGGCCTTTCTATGGCCAGTCGACCTCCCCCCTCAGCCAGGGTCCCCCAGCTCTGGGTGAAGAGTCAGGAAATTGGCAGGAAGAGACCAAATCTGGTAGCAGACACACAGCTATCTCAAGCAGATGGCATAGAGGCTTTGTGAGGTGCAGCTGCTTAGTCCCCATTCACAGGTGGGGAAACTGAGGCACTGCAGCTTAGCACAACTTTCACTCTCAAAAGAGCCAAAGGAAATCTTGTAGTGAGAAATGCCCACATCCTGGAACAGTATCAGATGCTTTCATCCTCCAGCTGTAAAGGAACCAGTCCAGGGGGACTGAGTGGGCAGCTGGGGAGAAGGGTGCTTGCCATAAAGAACCTTGGAGAGCTGCCTGGTGAGAGTGGCCAGTGAGGTGTCCTGGCTGAGCCCCCAGGGTGGGAATAGGCTTGGGGTTTCCTGTACAAGTGAGGTGGGAGCTAAGATGAGAAGGTGGAAGACCCTGGGTTCTGCTCCTTGAGAGGAGGCTGAGGATGGAACAGGGAGACCCAGTGAGAACAGCCAAGCCCGAAACACTGCTCAGGGTGCATCTGCCATCTGTGCAGCATGGCGGATCCAATGGGCAGAGAGCAACAGAGGCTGAGAAGGTGCTGAAGGAGGAAGGGACAAGGACAGATTGGGCTGGCTGGGCAGGGGCCGGGATGTGCAGGGGAATGCTCCTCAGAGGGCCTTGGCTAGGGCAGTTGGCCCAGAGAACATCAGGAACTTCTCAAAGATCCAGGCCTGGTGTGGTCACCCACAAGAATGCCCCAGAGAGAGTGGGGGAGCTCCCAGAGGACCCACACTTTAGGGGAAAATGTTTGGAGCTAAATATTTTTCCAGCTGGGTGTGGTGGTGTACGCCTGTAATCTCAGCACTCTGGAGGCTGAAGCAGGAGGACAACCTCGAGTTCCAGGCCAGCCTGGACTACAAAGCCAGTCTGAACTATGTAGTAGTTTTTTGGGACCCTGTTTCAAAAAAGAAAAGATTTTCCAGGGGCCATAGCTTAGTGGTAGGGCCTGGGCTCAGCATGCCGGAGGCCCTGGGTTCCAGCCCTAACACCCACGCGCGCACACACACACACACACACACACACACACACACACACACACGTGCACATACCCATGCACACACGAGATTAAAAAGCAACCTGCATGCAGAAGGAAAGAGCTTGTTCAGGGGAGTGTAATTGAGGCTGGGATGATTGTGGCCCCCGGCAGTGACAGGAGGCTGGAGGACACTGAGCCAAGTATCTGGGGACCAGATGACTGTGGGCAGAGTAAGAGCCAGGAGCCCAGGAGGCCAGCACAGCGTCCTCCCACTGCCGCTGAACAGCTGCAGCTGGGCATGTCAGGGCGAAGGGGGTGCCCTGCAGCTGTAAAGTGCTGTCTCATCAGAAGCCCCATATTGCTTAGAAAATTGAGGTTCAGGGAGGGAAAAGTGACATCTTAAAATTATCATATGGCAGAACTCAATGGGGGTTTTGCCTCTAAGAAACAGAAATAAAGACCAAGGGGGGTGGGGGCGGGGAGGTGTCACCCAAACAGGCCCTGACCTCCCACTCCCCCCAGGCCGCCTGGTGGATGCCTTGAAGAACTATGAGATCATCTTCTACTTGGCTGGCTCCGAGGTGGCCCTGGCTGGGGTCTTTATGGCTGTTGCCACCCACTGTTGCCTACGCTCCCGATCTCAATCTCCGGAGACTGCGGCTGGCACAGCCACCAAGGGTGCCGCTAGAGAGGCCGAAGACACCGAGGCAGAGGGGGATTCGGAGCCACTGCCTGCCGACACCGAGCAGCCAGGCAGTATGCAGGTCCTGCAGATGCTGAGCCCCCGGGCCGGGGCAGTGGAACCGGAGGTGGAGGCAGAACCAGGCCCTGGCCAGGAGTCTGTGTAGCGCGTTGGGCGAGGCCGCCTGGGGGCTCCACAACAGTGGCTTCCTCTTTCCGGCACACTGGTAGCAGCCGGGTGGTCATCCCCTGGGGCAAGCCCGGGAACATCCTGGAAACATCCTTCCCATTCGCCAGCCCCTGTCCCCTTGCTGCTCAAACAGCTGCGGGGCGACAGAAATCAAATCCATAAAGTTCAGCTGAAGGACAAGTTGTTTGCAGCACCTCTACCCGGGGCTCTGGCTGCAGCCTCAAGGTGGGGCAGGGAAGTTCTGTGGTGTCTTTCCAGGGCCTCTGGAGTCGGATGAGTCAGTGACAGATGAAAGGCAGCCGGGCTGTGCACTGAGCCTGCTGGCTGCCACCTGCATCTCTCCTGGAGGTGATAGGCTGAGCAGTAGTGACAAAACCCAGGTCCCAGGCCAGGGCGGGTGGTGAAGCCCGATCAGTGGCCTGGCTTCCTTTGCGCACCAGAGGGAATGAGTCCAGGTGTTCACCTTGGCCTGGGCCTGATGTTGCCAGTACAGACGTCCCTCACCAACCCAAGGGGTACCTTTCCCTCTCCAAGGTGAACTTGAGGTCCCAGGGCCAGGGACCTGCTCCTGAGCATGGCCCTATGGGCAGCCTGGTCATCTGCTGACCCTGGCATTTGCACTGCCGCCAGAGTCCCAATTCCCAACACCTCCAAGCTGGAGATGGAACCCAGGGCCTCCATTGCTACACCCCAACCTGGCATCGCCTTGCCCGCACTGTGCTGGGTTCTCGGATCCCCTGGTCTCACTCTGAGCACCTGACCCATCGAGCCCTCCATGTCCCCAAGTGGGGCTGCCAGCCAGCAGTCTGGGCAACCAAGCAGACGCCTGGCTATCATAGGTATCTGGGGTCCCCATGCCTTTCTTTTTAATACTTTAAGAGCCTCTATCTGGGCCCAGCTGTGTTTAAGCCCTTACAAATGTCAACTCATGTAATCCTCACATGCCGACCAGGTAGATGTCATGGTTACCGGTGCTTCACAGAGGGAAACTGAGGCACAGGGAGTGGCCCAGGGTCACAGAGGCCATGCCTGGGACCCAGCCTGTGGGTTCTGAGCTGTCCTCTCAGAAAGGTGGTGCAGCTAGTCAGCTCTGCAGGGACCTAGTGGGATCCTGGTGACAACACGTCCCTCCCCTCCTGCTCAGGACCTGCACCTCGAATGCTGAGCAGAAACCGGCTTCCACCCTGGAATCTGCCTGCCTTGCACACCTGACCCCTCTCATTCTCAGGACAGCTACATCTGCTGTCCAACAGAGATACTTCAGAGTGACAGGGCCACTCCTGCTCATTACCCTGGGCCTACAGGTGTGGGCTGCAGCGGGCTGGGGAAGCGGACGTGGGACCACCCCTTTCTGCCACTGTATGAGAGCATCAGGGGGGCCCACACAGGCCTGAGGTTGACAGTGTCTCCCTGACAACAGTCCAGGACCTTGACCAATGTCTGTGCTGCCCCTCCCCAGGGTAAGGGTCAAAGGTGAGGGAGGACGCAAGGCTGCAGGAGGCAGGGAGCTGGCAGGTGGCAGAGGCAGGGTCTGTGACCTGGCAGATGGGAAGCGGATCCCACCTTTTCCCCTACATGGTGAGGTCCCGAGCCTCATGTCCCAGGCCAGTGCAGACACAGGCCCTGCAGGGCGCTGTGAGGGCCGGCGGCCCTGGACACACACAGCCTCGCAGGAGGGTCAGATCCTGCAGAGCCAGCAGCTCCATCGTCCGAGTTTATTCATTCAGTACAGGCCCCGGCCCAGCCCTTCTCCAGAGGCGCGGAGCAGGGGGAACAAAATAAATAAAGGCTGCTAGGTGCCTGTGGCCTGGGTGGGTAAGGCGCAAACGCAGGCTCCAGCCCCGCAGCCACCTGGCTGCCAGGGCGAGGGGCCCCGGGAGGCGCCCACAGGACCGGCCCTGCACTGCTGCCCCCTCCGGCCCTCTTGCTTCCTCCTAGAGAGGTCCGGAGGCCACGCGCTCCCTGGACTGAGCAGGCCGGAGAAAGGGGTGGTGCTGTCCAGCAGGAGCCCGGGCCCACTGCGCCCAGGACGGAGAAGTCGGAGGCCCGCAGGCCTTTCTGAGGCTGACCCCCGCCATCCGGCCCGGGGCGGTGAGCTCAGGAGTCACACCAGCTCCCGCCCTTGTCCAGCGGCCCGGCAGCCCCGCGCGTGTTTTGGGCAGCTTCTTTGGCTGCCTGGCCCTCCTCCTCGTCCTCGTCCTCCCCGTCGGTGAACTCGCCCTGGCTGGGGCCGTAGGCCAGGGTGGTGTGGGCCAGGTCCACCTCGATGGGGAACACATCGGCGCTGCGCAGCACCGCGTAGCAGTCGTTGTAGTACTTGGACATGGTGAACACGAAGCGCTGCAGCTGGAACACGATGTCCTGGACTGCGGCAGGGGGGCAGGCACCGGTCCAGTGGCTGCGGCTGCCCGGCCAGCACAGGGGCCTCCCTCCCTCCCACGTGGCTCCTCCCAGGGAATAGGGGGGGGGCGGGAAACAGGAGGCTGCCTCAGGGGCCCGGGGTGGGGCCCTCGGGCAAGGGCGTGGCTCCTTTGGGCGGGAAGCGCCGGGCTGCCCGCCGGGCTGCCTACCGTGCTTCTGGTCCAGCAGCTCCATCTTCTCCAGCACGTCCTTGCGCATCTGCGAGAAGCGCGCGCGCGCCTCCTGGCGGCAGCGCAGGATCAGGCGGTACTCGTAGTTGCCGGTGCTCACGCGGTACAGCGGCTCGCCCAGCGCCTGCGGCGGGAGTGCGGGCACATCAGGGACAAGGCCCGGCTGGAAAGGGCGTCTGCTTGGGTGGGAGAGGGCGTGCGGGAAGGCTGCGGGGCTCAGCCTGCACCTCTGAGGGCCAGCGAGTCCCTTGATTCTCGGCTGCTAGCAGCTGCTGGGAGCACCTAGCAATGCCTCTGGAGGTGAAAAACTACCAAGGAAAATCCCCAACTCCTGCCACACTGCATGAACAAACCACTGTGGTCCAAAGAAGGGTCCCGAGGCCAAAAATATTACAGATTTTAAAAATCAAAGCACTAGGATTGGGGGCCAGGGATTCAGCTCAGTGGCCCAAGTGCTTGCCTGGTAAGCACAAGGTCATGAGTTCAGTACCCAGCGCCAAAACAAAAACCAAAGAACCCAAAGCACTAGGACTGAAGTTGGCCAGTTTTTTCTTGCAGGGGTCACAATTGGGGGCAGCTGACCTAGGAGTGGAACTGGGGTGGGAGTAGGGTGGCCCCAAATTCTGCCGAGAATCTAGGCCACAGCCCCCAGCACTCTCCTGGGTTGGCCTGACCCACCTGACATCCCCGGCAGCCCCAGGGCACTCGGAGGGCTCTGTGAGGCAGGGGAGGGAAGCTACGTGGGCCCCCGCGCTTTCCTGACGCCAGGGCTGAGCCCTGTAGTCCTGGAACTCACAATGCAGGTGTACTCCTCGTCGTCCATCTCCTTCACCTTCAGGCAGTAGGACTAGAGGGACAGAGAAGCCAGGCAGTCAGCGCCGGCCCTGATGCCCCCTCCTTCAGGCCACACTGTACCCTGGGGCCGCCCCAGGAAGCTACTATGTGCACCCAGACACGAGCAGCCGAGTCAGGGTCCCCTGGTGCCTGCAGACACCCAGATGGGTTGAGCTACGACTCCAGAAAAACTGGCAGACCACCCCGGCCTTGCGCCTAGTCCCACATCCCAGGTCAGGCGTGACACGGACCGGGGCCACCTGCCCTGCTCGGAGGACTGGCTGCTCATGCGGAACAAGGCCCCAGGGTGGCTTCCGGTGCAAAGCCAGCTGCGCACTCACCAGGTACTCGAACTTCACGTCCAGGTACTTCTTGATGGTGAGCCGTGTGTCGGGGATGGCTTTGTTGAGGTACGTGTTCAGGTCCGTCAGCATCTGAGAGGTCAGGCAGGAGTGGCCGTTTGACAAGGAATGGCACCAAAGTGTCACTCCCTCAGTGGACTCAGACAGCCAGGGCCAATGGCCTTTTCTATTTCAAGGTTAAAAGCTTGGACAGGCCACGGGCAAGCTGGGACTCAGAGGCAGAGCAGGGCAAAAAGCAGCCTCACAGTCAGTACCAAACCCCACGGGGGCACGTGACTTACAGCCATGTAGGGGACCAAACCAGGACCCCAGTATAGGACCCACTGTGTGCCACGCTGTCCCACTGGGACCTACCGGCTTGATGGTCTTCAGCAGCTGGATGCCGGACTTCTCAATGCTGCGGTGCGCGTCTGCGAACTTCACAAAAGCCTCGCTTGCTGCTGGCTGGGGCTCCCGCACCCCGATCACAGAGAACACGTCCCCAAAGGCTGTGGGACAAGTTTACCTTGAAGGCTGCCCCCACTTGACCCCCTAATGGAGAAGCCAGGGGTTTGTTGGGGAGCAGGACAGGGGGCCTTGACAGCAGGAAGACAAGGTCTGTGTGGGGTCTGTACTTCTGGGGAGCTGGGTCTGTGCTCCTGGGGAGCTAGGTCTGCACCCCTGGGGAGCTGGCCTTATTCTCCCAAGGTGCTCAAACCAAGGGAGAGGCTGAGTGCATCCTGAGGTGAGCAGGAGGGTCACCCCTATAAGCTCTGTGACCACTTCCTGTCTGTGCTTCCTCTATCTGCCTGTAACCAGGCTAACTGGCCAACCGCCCAGCCGAGGCTTCTGCAGGAAAGGAGACCACACTTGAGGAGTGTCCGTGAAAACAGAAGGGGCAGCTGGTCCAGGTGTTGACTGGCCTGTCACTGCTAAGTCCTGCCATCTAGGGCCATGCACTGCCCGTGCTGGCTGGAGGGAGAGCTGTGGGTGGGAGAAGGGCCCTAGGGCCACACTGTACCAGGGGTACTGAGCCCAGAGAGGGATGGAGATCTGTCCAGGGCAAAACAGCAGTTTTGGGGGCGCCATTACCCCGGTGGGTCTGTGACAGCTCATAAAAGGCCAGGAGGAGGTTCTTGGTGTGTTCTGTCATCCCTGTGGGAGAGATCCAAGTGACAGAGGAGGGGAGTACACGTCAAGGACTGCACCCCCCGGGGCCTAGTCCTTCCCCTTCCTGGTGTTGGGTCTGCTGCTTCTTCCCTCCCTTCCCACAGCACCTCCTCCAAGGGCCCAGGAGCGAAGGCTCAGCCCATGTCCACCAAGGACCCCATCAGCTGGGAAGCTGGGACTCTGTGGTACGGGCAGAGGTCTCCCAAGGGACAGTGGGGTTCACTGGTCCTCAGCTTTCTAGGCTGAGTTCCCAGGGCGAGTCCACCCTGCACTTCCGGGTTTAAGGTCTCCCCGCGCCCCTCACCTTTGTACAGCTCAGCCGTCCGCTCTAGCTCCTCCAGCCTCTTCACCAGCCCATCTGTGGGGATGGGGAGCAGTGAGACTGCAGGGCTCATGAGCTGGGCCAAGACAGGCTGGAGAGGGGCTTGGGAGAGGGGTGGTCTCCAGGGACAGGGCCCAGGCAGGGGTATTACAGTGAGGGTCAGCTGGGCTGGGGACATCTGTCAACAGCCTGGCATTACACAGTCGTTCTGCAGATGTGCCCCATCCCCCACTACCTGGGGTGAATCTGGGGCAGAGGATGATGCTGGCACAGGGCTTTCCAGAACCCTGCGTACACAAGGGCTGGGCCCTCCCCAGGCTGAAGCTGGGATGCTCCCCACAGCAGCAGGAGGAAGGCCCTGGCCGGGGGCCAAGGCTCCCTGTACTTCTACACAGCCTGCTGCACCCTGGAGGACTCAGTCAGAAGGGACGTGCACAGGACCAAGCGAGCTGGCGGTGCACACAGGAGCTGGGCAGCTGGAGGACGTGGGGAGAGCCTGGACGAAGGGCTGGAGATGGGCAGGACACGATGACTGCAGCCTTTGGCGTCACTTGCTGAGCCCCTACTGTGCCAGCCGCGGGGCTGGGCCCCGGGACAGATCCAGTCCTGCCCATGAGCTTTAGGTCTAGCAGGGCACTAGGCAGCGGCCGGCACATGGGAGGAAGGGGCTGCTCCCCCTGGGCCCCAGAGTGGGAGGAAGTAGGCTGCCAGGCTGGAGGTGTTGCGGGGGGTGAGACCAGGCAGGCCCAGCACTGGGCAGGGTGGGCACGCCTAGGGCTCTTCCTTGGGACCCCCACTGAGGTCCTGGCCTCCAGGTGGGGAGGACTAAGGGGCTGCAGCAGTTGATGGTTTCTTTACACGACCACATCTGAGGAGGGCCTGGTCCTGCAGCAGCAGCAGCGGCAGCATCTACTTCCTGGGTCCCTGTGCCCGTGAGCTGGAGCAGCTGAAGGCTCCTTGGACAGCCCTAGGCCACTGACTCCCATCTCTGTTTATTTAGTTGGATTTTATCTTACATTTTTTTGGTACTGGGGATGGAGATCGAGCATTGAACTCACAACCTTGCATTTACCAAGCAAGCGCTTGAACCGCTGAGTTAAATCCCTAGCCCCATTTAGTTGGATCTCCGCCCCCCCACCCGTAAGATCTCACTGTGTAGTTGAGGATGGCCTTACTTTATCTGTAGCCCAGGCTGGCCTCCAACTGGAGATCCTCCTGCCTCAGCCTCCCAGTAATGCCACAACACCAGCTTACTACTTCCACTGTTTTACAAAGAACTCTGAGGGCCAGACAGGCGAAGCACTTGGTCCAAAGCCACCCAGCAGGGGACTGTCTGAGACGTGGCTCATGACCAGTCTCCCGTGTTGACCTGGGTTAGGCTCTCTGGAGCAGGAGGGTGTGGCATGGGCGGAGCCCTTGGCAGGCGGGGATGTTGAGTGCAGAGGGGCTGTGGCACCTGGAAGGGCTTCAGGAGGCCCTGGCTCCCCAGAGGGGAGCGGAGCACACAGCCCGCTGGCAGCAAAGGAGCCACGTAAGCGCCGAGCTCTTGTTTTTAGCTGGGTCATGGGACATCATGACAGCTTCCATTTCAGAAAGCCTATTTACGGCTGGGGAAATTGCAAGGTTTGGGGGGAAAAACACAACAACCAGTTCTAATTTCATCCCATTGCATGGTAACTACAGTAACAGGCTTCAAGGCTCCAAGCCGCCCAAAATAGCAGCCGCCACTTTTGTACCCTATTTGGAACCAGCTCAGACCCCGCCTCCACTTTCCCAGCCAATGAAGCCCAGCGCGCACAGCTGAGCCCCGGTTTAGCCAGGTATTTATATCTCCGCACACGCACGCACACGCAGAGCGGGGCTATTTATACGTGGGCTGGTGAGGCGGGCAGTGGAGCGTGTGTCTCACTGGCCTCTCCGGGGGGAGAACGTGCACGCGCGTGTGCTGAGCGTGTGTGTAAATGCATCCGCGCACAAGGCTCCTTCCCCAGGCTGCCACCTCCAGAACCGCAGGCAGGAAGGCTGAGACAGGGCAGCAGCGCCACCTCCTGGACACGGGCGGCCCGAGGCCGGTACCTGCGGAGCCAGCAGGCCAGACTGCGCCCCAGCCTGGCAGCCTGGAGGAGGACCCGCCCACTCAGTCTGGCCCAGCTGACAGACAGGCTGGGTGCTCTCTGGGTGCTAGACAGGCTTCAGTAAAGTGACCTGGCGGCTGCCTGGGGACAGGCAAAGCCGGGCAGCATGACCCACAGCAGCTTGGGAGGCAGCGTGGTGCATGGCCTCCAGGCCCGGACTCACCGTTGCACAGGATGGCCCGGCTCAGGCCCAGGGCATCAGCCGTGCCTGAGCTCATGTTCTCCACCAGCCGGTGCTTGACCTTCTTCAGCACTGTGGCCGGAGAGAGAGGACCTGGGTGAGTCTGCAGTGGGCCCCGTGTGCATCCCCTGCCCCTGGCCCCATGGCAACTGGCTGCGAACAGCAAGCAGGGTTGGGGGGTCCCGCCCTAGCCCTCCCTCCGCGGGGCTGGCCGGCTGGGAGGACCAGAGTGACATGTTTAGACTGGGGGAGTCTGGGCAGGATGGTACCAATCAGGACCACTGAGAACAATGCTCAGGCCCAGTGATGGGGGACAGACCAGGGGGGACAGCCTTCCCTCTGTACCCCAGCAGGGCCTGGGTGACCTGTATGGGCTTAGCTGCCTCCAGCTTTAATCCATAATCCTGGGGGCAGATTGAGAGACCCTCAGAGCTACTGTCCTGCTCTTAGGTGTACAGCATGCACAGGACCAAGGCCCAGCCCCTCTAGCAGGAGGCAGCTTGTCTCTGAGCATGCGGGGGCAGGAGGCGGGCCGAGACCCATGCCCAAGGCCTATGGTGCAGTTTAGATCTTGGATCTGCCTGGGAGTAGAAGACAGACTAGGCAGGAGAGGACAGGATGTGCGGTGGGCACCAGGCACAGGCAGAGCCGCTGCCTCCTTCCCTGGGCTGGGTTAGCCCAGAATTGGCCTACAGAGGATAGCCCTGGGACACAACAAGGCCCAGAAGAGGTGGCTGGGCACAGGGTAGGGATAAACTGGGGACAGGGTCCTGAAGACAGTTACAGGGAGAAAACCCCAGGCCCTCCCAGGCCTTTCCCATTGGCTTGGTCAGAAAAAGTCAGGGCCCTTGGCCATAAAACAGTCACTGTCACTGTCACTGTCAGAGAAAGGCTGGGGGCCGGATCTCCTGGTTGGGCTGGGGGTCTCTGGGTCCATGGACACTGCTGCTGTGCCCGACTTACCAATGTCGAGGGACATGCCCTGCTTGGGGTCCGCCTGAAGCTTGTTGTAGTGGATGGTCACTTCCCCCTGCAAGAGCATCACAGGCAGAGTCACGACAGTCTCCTGCGTCCCAGGGCCCTCTGTGGTGAGCACTTCTCTGTGCCTGGTGTGTGGGGACACCAAGGAGGGGCAGGGACAGCCTGTCCCACAAAGGAGCATTCTGGTGACCGCTTAGGAACAAGAGTGAGGGCTCCTCTGAGGAGCATTCCCTGACCGTGGGAGGCCACTGTGGTCACTCACTTCCTTGCAATCTAAAGGCCTGTGACCTTAGGATTGAACCCACCCAAATATAAAACAGGGTTTAGGGGCTGGGGATTTAGCACAGTGGCATAAGCACCTGCCTTGCAAGTGTGTGGTCATGAGTTCGATCCCCGGTACCGATAAAAAAGAAAAAGACAAAAAATAAATAAATAAAACAGGGTTTAAAGACTGAGCCCAGAAGGCAATGTGAAGGGCCTGGGGTAGGGCATGAGCTGCTCCCTCAGGGCAGGACAGGGGCCTGCCGGGCACGAGAGGAAGAGCAAAGGGTGGCAGTCGGCCCAGGCTCCGGGTCAGCCCTGTGACCTCGGGACACCACCAGCACAGGGCAGTGACCCTGTCCGGCATACATGCTTGGGCGTGCTCAGGTTTGGCTATGCACAGACAGGTGGGCTCTTGTCTGCAGGACTAACTCAAGGGGCTGGTGAGAGGCAGGGACACAGAGGGACCCGGTGAGCGAGGTGATGGCGGGGGCGGAGCTGCTGGAGAGGGAGCACACTGAGCCAGCTCTGTCCCCAGATGGACCAGCCTTCACCTGCCACCACTGGGGCCTCTGCCCGGGGGTGAAGCCCAGGACAGTGGTACCCGGGTAGTATGGAGGGTCATCTGGGGCTCAGTGAACCCTGGCACTTCCTTTAGTGATCTGGAACTCTGAGCCCTAGCACAGAGGAGCAGTTACAGGACTGGGACCTTCTCCTTCAAAAGGGAGATGGGCACAGAGACTCCGAAGGGGACAGGGTGTGAGGCGGGAAGGTGTGTATGGGGAGCTGGGACCAGGTCCCCATTCACGGACCACGGTGTGGGCTGGGGAAGTGTGGCTGCCACGGCTGGGGCTCGATCCCTGCCCCGGGCTCCTAAATCCTGTAACTTTGCAGCTCGATCACAGTACTGATCTCCCAAGAGACCCCAGCAGCCGAAGCCCTAGGAGACGGCAGAAAGGCTGCTCACTTGCTTCCGGCAGGCCAGGAAGCTGCCTTGCCATGTGGAAGGAGGGCCCGGCCGAGAGGCTTGGAGGAGCGAGGTGTGAGGGGGCAGGGGTGACAGGCATGGCCTGTGGTTGCACAACAGAAGCCCAGCTGGACAGGGTCCCAGGACCTGCTGGACTGAGAAAGGGGCCTCCTCCTCCCTCTCCGCAAGTCCAGCACAGTCACAGGACATTATTAGCATCCCCAGAGCCAAGGGAGGTCTGCCAGGGCCTGAGCGGGGACACGCCGGCTGTCCACCTGTGCTGGTCCCCTACCTTCACCTCCTGAATCATCTTTGCCACCTCCACCTTAGTCTTCCCTTTGATTGACTTGCCATTGACACCAGTGATCTCATCGCCAGCAGCCACGGTGCCATCCAGGGCTGCGGGGGTGTTGTCGAACACCTGTGGACGCATGCACAAGTGGGATGGGGGGACAGGTGGGGAGGTGCCCCCCACAACTACCACCTCGCTCTGTCTTCCCCTCTGGCTACTGGTGGCACCATCTCAGGGCAAGGGGAAAACCTACCAGGCAGAAAGGGACAACCCCACATTCTTGGGGGGAAGGGGAAGCATAGGACAGAGACGAACTGATGAGGTTTCTAATAGCAAATACACCAAGCCCTGTACCCACAGAGTGCTGGCTCTGCCACTGTCATTTGCTTAATAGGTTTTCCCAAGCTGACTCAATGCCTCTTATCAATTCCCACATTTTGGTCCCTAGAGAACAGCCCAGGGCTGTCATGGGCAAGGGCCCCATGATGCCCTGGGCCCCTCTTCCTACAGGGACCCCTTCCACCGGAACTGCACTCATGGGTGCATGGGCTGTGTGTGTCCCAGTCAAAAACCAGGCGCTCAAGTGACACAGCAAGGGGGAGGGGGCTCTGTGAGTTGCCTACAGAGGGACACAAGCATACAAAACTACATTTGAAACAAAACCACGGGACAGACACCCAAACTATTGGCGCAAGTTCTGGTATTATATTCCTTTTATTTTATTTTCAGTCTCTACGTTTGCTACAAAGAATGTCACGTATACAGTGGTACCTCAGTTTGCATGCTTAACTTGTTCCACGATTCTGGAAAAGAGGGTAGTGGTCATGTTCGTCACCTGACGTGGTATCACAAGCAAAACCAAAATTGGCCAAACGCTTATTTGCAAACCAAAGCATATGTGAACCAAGGTAACACTGTGTCCATGTGTATATGTGTGGACATATATATCTCAAATTATTGAACATTTCTTTTTCTTATCTTCTAGAACACACACACACACACACACACACACACACACACAAGAAAAATTTGAAATAATTAAAATGATCATTTCCAGGGATTTAGCTCAGTGGCATAAGTGCCTGCCTGGCAAGCGCAAGGTCATGAATTCGATCTCCGGTACCAAAAAAAAAAAAAAAAAATATGAACATTGCTTTCTCTAACTTGTAGATTCACACCAAAAACAACACAATGGTGCTGACAGACTTGTGCCGTGGAAACTATAAAGCACTGATCCAAGAAATTAGAGAAGGAAAGACATCCAGGAAGGCGGACTGAAGACTTCACATTGGGTGATGCTAATACTCACCCAAAGCAATCCACACATCAGGGTGAATTGCTATCAAGCGCCACTGAGTTTTTAGGGAAATGGAAAAGTTCTAGAATTCATGTGGAACCTTTGGAGACCTTGAATCGCCAAAAAGGTCTTAGAAAAAGAACAAAGCTGGAAAGCAAACACTTCCTGATTTGAAAACTTACCACAAAGCTACAGTAATGAAAACTATACTAGCAACATCAAGAAAGCCCGAGACCGATGGGACAGAATAAGAGCCCAGAACTGAATCTGTGGGCCTAGCCTCAAAGGGTTTTTTTTTTTTTTTCCCCCTTCGGTACCGGGGATTGAACTCGAGACCGCCTGCTTGCAATCAAAGGTTTTTAATGGGGGTGCTGAGAAATTCAATGGGGGGAGAAAAGTCTCCTTTTCACAGCGGGTAGCCGCTGTGAAAAGGAGGATGCCACCACAGGCAAAGGCATGGAGGCAGACCCTCACCCAAACACATGCCCAGGCACAAAGTCAGAGGTCTAAACGCAAGACCTGGAGCCAGGGTAAAGGCTTCCCCACACTGGGTTTGGCTAAGATTTCTTGAATATGACACCAAGCTGCAGGCACCAATGAAAAAATAATCAAACTGGACTTCATGAAAACATTAAAACTGTGCATCAAAAGACATGGTCAGAAACAAACAAACAAACAAAACACAGTTGACATAAAAAGGTGCCAACGGGATGGGAATAAGTATTTGCAAGCTGCATATTTAATAAGTCACCACTACCCGGAATATAAAGGGAATTCCAAATAACAAAAATCTATAGAACCTAAGTAAAATATGTACAAACAGCCAGGCCTATAATCCCAGCACTTGGGAGGCTGAGGCAGGAGGATCACCATGAGTTCGAGGCCAATCTGAACCACACAGAGAGACTCTGCCTAAAATAATAAATAAAATAAAATATGGACAAACAACTTGAACTGAGTTTTCTTCACAGAAGATACACAGATGACCAACAAGCACTTAAGACTTGCAGCATCACTAATGTTAGGGAGGAACTGCAAACCCAAACTACAATGAGAGGCACCTCATAGCCATGAGGACGGCTGCTGTTACAAACCGCCATACAAACAACGGCACAGTCGTTGAGGATTTAAGACACTAGCACCCTCCTGCGCTGTGAGAGGAAATTAAAATGGTGGGAAAAGTATGGCGGTTCCTCAGAAAGTGAAAACTGGATTTACCGCATGGCCGGCAGTTCTGCGCCTCGGCACAGACCCCAGAGCACTGAAAGCGAGCTCCCGGCTATCGGAACAGTCACGGTCGCAATAGCCTTGCTCACAGCAGCTAACAAGTGGGAGCGGCCGATCGTCACTGAAGAAAGAAGGGAAAATCAAAACGCACACTTCCGCAATGAATAACCGCCTCAGAAGGAAGGGAATTTTGACACACGCTACACCAAGGGTGATCCTGAGGACACCGTACTGAGTGACATCTGCCAGTAACAGTAAGAGCCACAGCTGCGTGACTCTTTACACGAGGGACACGAAGCAGCTGACATTACAGAGAGAAAGTAGAAAGGGGCCGGTGTGGTGCACGCGGTCATTCCAGCACTCAGGAGGCCGAGGCAGGAGGACCGCTGCGAGTGCAAGGCCTGCCCGAGCTGCGCAGTGAAACCCTGTCTCAAGAAAGAGATGGAAAAACAAATGGAGGCAAGAAAGTAGAAAAAGGGGGTTCCCAGGGACTTAGGGTGGTACGTGATGGCTGAAAAGATTCAGCTTTACAAGATGGAGATGTAGGAGGCAGGCGGTGGTGACCACTGTGTGACATCACAAATGTATTTAACATTAACAAATCACGCATCTCAGCGTGGTCAGGATGAAGACATGGGGTAGAGTGTCTGTCCGGCCGGTGGGAAGCCCCAGGCTGAACCCCAGCACAGGGGGAAAAAAGGTTAAGATGGTAAATTTTACTAAAATTAAACAACAAGGGTGCAGAGACCACAGAAGACAGGATGTCACCCGAGAACACATGGAACTCCAGGGAAAGTCCCAGGGCTCCCAACGAAGCCACCCTCTGGGACCCACCACAGCCGACCAGCGGCTGTCATCACGATGCCTCGGACAGCGGCGTAGAAAAGTGCCTACAAGTCCAGACAATCAATAAGGCTTGTTACAATAAAGGGTCCAAAGGAGGGAAGGCGACCACGCTGACAGCAGCAAATGACGGAAGGAAGGATGCCACCAAGTGCGGCTGATTTCCGAAGCTGACGCTGATTGTTGTTGATGTTGACTACTGAATTCAATGAGGCAAAATGTCACCGGGCAGGAGCATGCGACTAACAGTGACCCAAAGGAGATGAAATGTTGACAGTTCCAGAGACAAACGGTGTCTGAAAAGGTGTGTCTTCCACACGCTTTTCTCAGAAAGCCACAGGGGGACATTCTCCACCCAGATGGAGCCGTAAACCAACAAAGTGACTGTTCCAGACGAGGACCCCAAAAGAGGACAGAGGGGAGGGTCCTGGGGGAAAGCCTCCGGGAGGCTGGGGGGGGGGCGCAGATGAAACAGGCTGACAAAGGTGTGGCCCTGGGATCACAGAACGGGTTCCAAGAGGCGAATGCAAATAAGAAAACAGAAAGGGAAACAGAAGTGAGGGAAGGGCAGGAAGAGGAGGAGGAAGAGAAGGAGGAGGAAAAGCGGAGTTACGAAAATCAACAGTGGTCCTCCAAAAAGCAGCCACCAAAGCAGCGCGCCGCAAGGGCGGGAAGCACTTCCTGTATCTCTTTATCCCCAGGAGCCAGCTGGGAACTGGGAAAGGCATTCCAGGACAAGACGTCGGTGGCCCTGGGATGGATTTAGCCCCCAGGGGCAGGATAACTATGGGAAAGATGGGGAGAAAGGAAGAGAGCTAAATGTTCATCTTGTGGACTAGGAGAGGTCAACAGACGTCTGCAAATGAGAGATACAGAGAGATCCAGCAGGAGACGTGCATCCCGAGGAGAGCAGAAGCCGAGTCTAAAGAAACAGGGACAGGGGCCTGGGCAAGAAGGGCAGGGCGGGGATGCTCTAAGCACAGGCTTGCTGGCTCTTGCCTTGTGAGAAGCAAGTCAGACAGCACTCTGAGGGAAACAAAATTGAATTGTAGAACATAAATTCTATTACTTTGTAATTGCAGTGCAGAACAAATCTGATCCCCAGGTCTTAACCGAGGGGCGGGGCTGGCAGAGGCTGGGCAGGCATGTGGCAGCGAGACCAGGCCTGGGGGAGTCAAGATCCTCAGGGACCTCAGGGTCCCCATGTGTCACCAAGGGCTACTCAGCTGGGAGGGTCACAACGAAGTCCAACCCAGGTCCTCCTGAGGCTACAGAAGTCACTGACTGACCAGCTGCATAGTGAAGGATGCCTTGAAGAACGCCTGTCCCCACTCCTGTGTCGCAGCTGACAGTATCACCTGGCCAGCTGCCTCAGCGGGGACCACAAAGCTGCCCGTTACCATTCTCAGGGCATCTGGGCAAACGCACAGCTGCCCGGAAGGAAGAGCAGCTGCCACCTGTCCTTGCTTCTCAAGTGCCCAGCAAGGTGCTATTTGAATTTGGTGGATTTTCACAAGAGCCTAAAGATGCTTACGCCTGCACCTTCCCAGCCTCCCTTTCCTCTCTCTGACCTGAAAAGGAGCCTGCTGACAAACACCTGGTGTCCAAACTCAGTCACTTTGCAGTCTTTCCTCTTTGCTTGGCTAAGCACCCCCGGCTGACATCTTGGTATTGACTAATGACATTTTTATTGAGTGTCCAGTGTATGCTGGGCACACCCCACACTAACTGCAGCGAAAAAACAAACTGCAACCTGTCCTTGTGATGCCAAGCGTGGCAGAGCAGCCAGAGGTACCACAAGTGACAAGTAATGTGGCCCAGGAAGGCAAAGAAGGGCCTGGGATGGCACAGAAAAACAAGGGCAAGCCCCTGCTTAGACTGGGTGGGCAGAGGCTTTGCTGAGGGTGGCACTTTTTCAGAGTGGAAGAATGACAGGCCCCTGTCAGGCCCCAGGAGGGAGGCGACTCGCTCCATCCAGGACCCCAGCCCCACCTCCAAAGTGCCCAGTACCTGAACGATATAGAGGCAGGGACAGTACTGGGCCCCCCCTCCAATGCTGATGCCGATCAGGTTCTGAGCGTCCTTCTGCAGGGTCACTTTCCCAGGCACAGTGGGGATCCCACTAGAAAGAGGAGTGAGTGGTGAGTCTCTGGAGGATACAGGGTGGGAGGTGGAGCTCCAGAGCCTGAGCCCCCACAGCTGCAGTCTCTTCCCATCCTTACTCAGTCAGAAAGACAGTAATTGTGATGGAATACACCGTGCACAGCTCCTACGAGTCATACGGATGTGACACTGACCCCAGCTGTGCCATTTACTGCCTGGGGTTTGGGTTAAGTTGCCCTCCCCAGACTTTGGCTGTTTCTCCCATAAGTGGCACCAAACCTCCCTTATCAGAGCTCTTAAGAGCACCCAAGAGGCACCAAGGTCAGCCCAGCCCAGAGCAGGCCCAGTGTAACACATTCCCTTCCCTCACTGACTTCAAACTCTTGAGATCCATCCAGGCTGTCACCTGCAGATAGGGATGGGACATTATGGGCACCTCTAGGAAGTCATTCCCTCTTAACATCCTCCTGCCATCTCTCAATTACCTCATTCAATTAATTCTGTTTTCACTATAAATTAACATTTTTTATGGTAAACAATCTCATGTCTTAGCCTATCCATTCAAAAAACATCTGCTACCTACCTATGCTGTCTGGCATCTAAGTGCTGAGGACAGAAAAACAAGTCCTTGTTCTGAGAATACATTCTAATGACCAGGCAAACTTAATTTTGAAAATCTGCCCTCCTAATTACTTACGGAGGGGAAGGTATGTTTATGACAGTCCCATTCATCCTTCAAAACTGGCTCTCTCGCCACCTCCTTTGATCAGCCTTCCCTGACCACCCCAGCAGAAGCATTGCTCCATCCTTCTGCTCTTCTTGTCACTGGATCATGCAATTAGCTTCCCTTCTGGCTCTAAGTCATAATTATTTGACAAACCCGTCCATGGTCCCTACTGATGATGAGCCTCTGGAAAGGCAGGCTCTATTTCTGCTTCGGGACACCTGCTGAGAAGCCAGGATGGGGTTGGGGGAATGAAGTCCCAGGAAACAGAGACCTGGAATTCCTGAACTCCCAGGACGCGGGGTGCAAAAATACTCACAGTTTATCCTCCTCGATGTCATAATCCAAGTCTGCAAACATGGTTCCGAGAGTTGAGGTGGGCTGGCTAACTGCCCAGCTCGGTGGGGGAATGGGGAACTGGATCCGGGAGAGAAAGGAGCAGGGGCTTCAGGGGACCGAACTGCCTAGGTGCCAGCCCGAGCTCTCCCGACCGCCGCCGACCTGCACGGCAGGTGCCTCCTCCTCTCCCCTGGACTCGGAGAGGGGGAGTCTCGGAGTGGCGGAGGTGGGTAGGTGATCCTTACTAGGTACAGGGGAGGAGAACTCCAGGCCAGGGCGATGAGCTCAGATGCCAGAGCCCGGCCCACGGGTCTCCAGGCCCCTGGGAGCTGCCGGTGTCGATGACCGGAAGAGTCAGTCCCAGAGCCGGGCCCGGGCCAGGCTGGCACCTGAACCCACCTGCCGTTTCCACCTGGCGGTGGCCGCGATTATTACGTCACTTCCGGGAGGACGCGGAAGTCCTGCCTTTCCTCCCTGGGTATTTGCCCCAACACTCGCAGGCAACGCTTTCCTCCCCGCTCCCGGGACTCTCAAACCAGGAAACAGAATAACTATTGGTGGACGCTCCCGTTAGTGTGAAAAAGCGGAAACAAAGGAAGGTCTGGACAGGCCAAAAACGCTTAACCCCGCCCCTTGTCCTATCTCTGCCGCCATCTTGGGAAGGGCAGGTTTTTCCCAGCTTTCACAGCGGCACGCTGGGGGCACCACGCTGCCCCAGGCGGTTGCCTAGGCAACGAAAGCATCCTGAGACTGGGGTTGCCTCCGGCGAAGTTCCGTGAAGTACAAACCTAGAGGTCTTACCTGTTACACCTGCGCCACCTCGGCCAAGGAAAAGCCTGTGACTGCTGTACTAGCATGGCAGTGTCTTGGCAGGAGGGGCCCTTAGAGATCCCACTCCAATCCTAGTTTTGCAGAGGAAGAAGCTAAGTGCCAGACAGAGGAAGCGATTTTGTCCAGAGCCATGTACAGCGGGTAGAAAATCCAGATCTTGCCCCTGAGATCTCTGTGGCTTAGTTCAATGCCCTCTGAACACCAGCATTAAACTAGGAGGCAGGAGAGGTGTATTCAGGTACTTTCTACGGTATTTGGTGAAAGAGTCCTCACCTTCCCACCTCCCTCTTGAGTCCTGAGGACCTTGGGTCTCACTGAGGACCCAGCCTCCCTGAGTTTCAGCAAACGCCGTCAATGCTGCTCAGCCAAGGAGTCTGAATCTCCTCTTCCACCAACCTCTGCCGCCACTGTTGTTGTGTGGAATGGGCCCTAGAGAAAGTTAGAAGTCTCCTTCTGCAGGTGGCATGGGCCAGGTTGACCTAGTGTCCTTTGGCAGCTACCTCAGGGGTGCAGAGATGCTGGAAGATGAAGAGATGAAGGTGGGTGATGATTGTCCACACAGCCCATGGCCTGCAGGAAGCCCTCTCTCAAGTCTCAGCACCATAGCAATGACCTTCCGGGTGCCCCCCTGCTTAGCGGTTTGAATCACCTTCGTGGGTCACTTTCAAGTTCACGCTTGTAAGAGGAGAACAAGGACATCAGCCGCACCATACAGGTAGGGAAACAGGCTTCCCCTTTATTACACATGGTCAGGGCGGGGCTTGGATTGTTTGGGTCAACAGGGATTTTTGAAAGTCAAATTAAGTAGAGAGACAGGTGCGAGCGCCCCTCTAACAATTCCCACGGCACAGATAGCTCTAGAGCCTCCTTCCTGTCTCTTCCTGGTTGAGGGCAAGGTGCCCATGTCCTCTTTTCTGCCTTGTACCCTCACCCTCCGGGCTCAGCTGTAATGCCCCCACTTCCAGGCAGCCTTTCCAGATCATCCCGTGCTCAAACTGTGCTCCTTTTTCTGCTCCCAAAGCACTTGTTATTTGCACCAGTGCTTCAGCAGTTTGTCACATACTGCCTTGTGCCATCCCTTCATAGCTCCAGGGAGATTAACTTATTGTATGCTTGTATTTTGTCCCAGAAAATTTTTTTTCACACTTAAAAGTGGGGCTTGCCAAATGGTGTGGTGGTACACACTTGTTATTCCAGCATTTGGAAGGCTGAGGCAGAGGATTGCTGTGAGTTTGAGGCCAGCCTGGGCTGCAAGATTGAGTTTAAGGCCAACCTCCCTGAAGAGTGAAAACCTATCTCTACAAGATGACGACGACGACGACGACGACGACGACGACGACGACGACGACGACGATGATAATAAATGATCCTTAGGGTTTGCATCTTGATAAATCCTAGAAGGTTTTCGTTGCTTCCTGGGCTGCCTTTCCCTATGGACTTCATACCCCCTGGCATGCTCATCCTCCGTAGGTGTAGGAAGCCATCAACAGGTGTCACTGGGACAAACGAAAAGAAAATGGATGGCTTTGTAATCGGTGCCCATCAGCGAGAAACCACAGCCCGCTTCATCTTCACAGCAGTGGGGCTCACCTGAGCTCACCCAGCACAGGACCTTGTCCCACAGGACTGAGGGAGCCAGGTGGGGGCCGTAGTTTATTTGAAGGGAGCACAGCAAAGTAAGACCTTAATCTGGTCTTTCCAGCTGGACAGGAAGCTGCTGGGGTGAGGGCCTCGCCCTGTCCACTGGGCACTGTCCACAGGGCCCGGCACAACGCCAGGCAGGGATGAAATGTCATAGGGACCCTGTGGGGGCTGGGGATTTAGCTCAGCGGCATAAGCGCCTGCCTTGTAAGCAGGCAGTCGTGAGTTCGATCCCTGGTACCGATAAAAACGAAAAAGACAAAAAAAAAAAAAAAAAAAAAAAAAAAAAAAAAAAAGGGACCCTGTGGCTGTTAAGGAGATGGGATTCACTGTGAACCCAGGCGGGTGCCCTGGGACAGAGAGAAGTCCGGAGGGTCAGAGGGGCCAGAGGTGACAAGGCCCCACTGGGTCAGCAGCAGTGGCTCAAGTCTGTCCACAAAGCTGGACTCATCAGGCCCAGCAGAGGTCCTGGACTCTGGTCTTGGAGAAACAGCACCCTTCAAACCACAGGCTTTCCCATGTGGTCACTCCGCCACCCCAGGAAGGCACTGCTGTCTCAGCTGGGGGCTGGGGGACAGTCACCCTTTGTCTGTCTGTGTCTGGAGAGTGAAGGACCACAGACACAAAGACGTGGATGAAGGGCACAGATGGCAAGGCGGGCACTGTCACTCTGCAGGTGACAAAGCTGCTGGGTCACTTCAGCACACGCACATGTGCGCACACACACACACACACACACACACACACACACAGAGCCTTCCCCAAGAGACCCCCGAGGAGTATCTCAAATACAGCTTTGTGGGCTCAGATCCAAATCTCTGGGAAAGGAGAAATCCTGGAGGTCACATTGTCACAAAGCTGCAGGTGACATCAGTGTCAACACCTGTCTGAGACCCACTGTGTCTGAGGTCCAGAATGCAGGGAGTCTGTGCTCTCAGGGCCAGGGAATGGGGCACCACCTCCCCTGCAGATGAGGGTGCTGGTGGTGCCCAGGTAGAGAGGGAGGGCAGGTGGGAAGGTTCTGGGGCAGAAGGCACAGCCCCCAGAGGGAGTCACAGCCATGTGGGGGACAGTGACTGGTGACCCCCACTTCTGCAGTGTCCTGGGTAAAGTGGGGCGTCGAGGGCCAAAGTGGGAGAGGCAGGAGTGCCTTTCTCCAGGTGGCTGCGATTTTGGGATTGGAACCAGGTGAGAACTGCCACCCACCGAAGGAGGCCGGGCCAGGCCAGGGGCAGGGGCCAGGACCTCTCCTAGCTCCTTCCCCTGCTGGGGCCTGAGTCTGTCCAGGAAGGTAGGTGACCATTCACCTGGCCTAGCTGTGCCCCAGACATGGTGTGGGTGGCGGAAGGTCCAAGCTTTCTCCGGGCCCCAAAGCCGCTGCACGACCCCATTCTTCCATTCTTGGAGGACCCAAGCCTCAGATTCAGCCGGCGGAGCTGCTCCCCAGCCCTACACTCGCCCTATTCCTAAGGACGTGCTGCCATCTGGTGGTCATTAGGAGAAGTACTTCCTGGGGCCCGATCACTGCCCCAGGGTTCATCCAGCAGCCTAGAGGTCAGTTGGGGCTGGTCCCTGCAGGCCTGCAGCCCAGCTGTCGCCCACCCCAGGCTTGGGGGCCTCACTACTGCACCCATCACTGGATGCCTGCAGAGCGCCTGTGTGGTTGACACCTAAAGGGCGTGAGAGGAGGTTGGGAAGTCTTGGGCCTCTCTTGTGTTACTGTCACACACCCCCAAGCTCCGCAGGGCAGGAACCCGCCTGTTGGGGTCACCCCTGTACCCAACAGCAAGCCCAGTGCGGGGTGGATGACTCTCTGTGACACTGACAGGAGGTAAAGGCCAGGCATAGTGGAGCCCACGGTGCTGGAACCAGGATTTATCTGCCTGGCACTGGGGAGCCACAGAAGATTCTAGCAGTGGGGAGAGGGAGCATTGGATCTGGATACAAGGGCAGATTGAGAGATCCAGGGAGGCCCACTGGTGGAAGCAAGGTAGGAGAGGACAAAGGGGAAGCTGGGGGGGGGTCACCTAGACAGGGTGGGCCTGCCTTGGGGACAGTTGGTCTGTGGGTACCAGAGTTCCCCAAAACAAGAAAGTATCTCCCACTGGGGCAGCAGTGGGTGCGCCCTGGGGAGGGGCGTGGACTCACCTGAGGCAGATGCACCCCCAGAAGGTGTCCTATCCCTGGCTGTACTAGAGGCCTGGCCTCACCACCCTTGGGTGCATAGCAGCCTCCACCCCGGGTGTCCACCTCAGCTAGGGTGGGATGTGGGCCTCTGTGCAGCCTTGAGGTCCCCTCCACACAAGCACCCCCTGAGCAGCTTTTCCCGGCCCAGCTTGGCATGTCATGGCTGACCTCTGACCTCCCCCTGCCCCTCTGCCCCGCAGCGCCCTGCCCTCTGGGTTAGGTCAGTGATGAAAGCCGGTGGGAGCCCCAGGGGAGGGGGACGACGAGGACAGTGCCCGATTGTTCCCTCTCCTGGCTCAGCGGCCATGCACAGGAGAGGTGGACAAGTAGCCACTGGGTCTTTGCTGCCCCTCTTTCTCCCTACCGTTCTCTTGCTCTGTCAGAGGTTCTCAAACTCCACGGGGAAGTCATTATCCAGGCAAATGTGGGGCACCCGTCCCACCTCATCCTGCGGCTCGCAGGGGCCCATGTGGGAAGAGCCAGGGGGAAGACTTTGGGTCTCACTTGTTCTCTGAGCTGCAGTGACCTCAAGTGTAAAATGGGGCAAAGAACAGGCCAGCGCTGTGACGGGGCTCCGGGAACACCCTGGGAAGGAGATGCCAAGGCTGTCTCTCTTGCCCCACACCTGCCTGCGGAACTCACAGGGGTGCGACTCCCGCCTGTGCAGCACCCCAACCCCGGCTGAGCTCTAGCCGGGCCATGCCCTTGGGCAGCCGAGGGCCCCAGCCCCCGTCAGGCACCTCACTGATTCTGTGTGCTCTGCCTTCTCTTGCTGGGTTCAGAATCCCTCGGGAAGCCCTGCGGGAAACTCAGCAGGGCTGTGATGGAATCCAGCCTTTCACTCGGGAAGAACCAACCCCTCCTGCTGCCTCTGCATTGAGTTGGGCCTCTTTCTTCTCTCTTAAGGAAATTCTCAGATGTGCAAATCAGAGCATGGCGGGGCTTTCTAACCCAGCACCAAGCCTTCCCCGCCCCTCGAGGCCATGGCCCTGTCTGATCTGTACCCTTCTTCTGCCTTTGCACTCCTGATTGTGCAGCAAAATGTGGGCTCACCTTTAGTTGGGCATGGTGGCTCACGCCTTGTAATCCCAGCACCCAAGAGGCTGAGGCAGGAGGATCGTTGTGAGTTCGAGACCAGCCTGGGCTACAAAGTAAGCTCAAGGCCAGCCTGAACTGTATAGCGAGATCCTGTCTCAAAAAGACAAAAAATAAAATGTGGGGTCACTTTTAGTGTTTTCTAACAATTGCTTTTTGCTTGTGTGTGTGTGGGTTTTTTTTTGTTTGTTTGTTTGTTTTGTCTGGGAGGTAGGGATCAAACTCACAACCTTGTGCTTGCCAGTCAGGTGTTTGTGCCAATGAGCTAAATCCCCAGGCTTTTGCTTGTGTTTTAATTTTCAAAAATTATAGACTCATGAAAAGTTGCAAAAATGGCACAAAGAGATCCCAGTGCCCTTCACCCCATTTCTTCCAAAAAGAGGACCTGGGTTCGCTAGAGACTCCAGTCACAACCAGGGCATCGGCGCCTTGGTGCCGTCCACAGACCTGGTCCTGTGTTTGCTGGTTTTCCAAGACCTCAAATGTGCGCGTGTGTGTGCTTCTCAGCAATTTCTTCGCGAGTGGATTTGCATAATTTCCACACACCACCATAAAGACCTGTGTGGTTACTGCTAAAACGGCTCAGATTATTCCCGTACCATAAACGCCCATCTCTCCACAGCCTCCAGCGACCGCTGCTCTGTGCGAGTCTCCCTGGCTCTGTCATTTTAAGGAAGTCACACTAATGAGAGCACCTAGCATGGAGAACTCCCAGGTGAGCTTTTTCCTTCAGCATAATTCCCTGCAGCTCTGATCGAACCTCCACGTATGGGGCTCGTTCGGTTATTGCTGAGCTGTGTTCTGAGATGTGCGTGGAAGGTGTCTGACCAGCAGCTCACGAGGGGCTGGTTGGGTTATTACCAGGTGTTCAACTATGGCAAATAAAGCTGCCCTGCCAAGGGCATAAGTGTGCGTGGCCGCCACCACCAGGTAAGTGCCCCAGAGTGCCATTGCTTGCTGGGTACTACATTAACAGTGAGCTTAGTGCTTCGGGTTTGGTGCTGAGAATTAAATCCTGAACTTTTGCTCTGAGCTATATCCCCAGCCCTTTTTAAATTTTTTATTTTGAAACAGGGTCTCAATAATTCTCCTACATTTTGTAGGCTGCGTTTGAACTTACAATCCTTCTGCATCAGGCTCCCAGAGCTCCGGGAATAAAGGAGTGTGCCACCGTGCCCAGATGTTTAGGGTTTGGTTTTGGTTTTCCCCACACTATTTTGCAGGGTGGCTGCAAATTCATAACAGCTTATGTTTATCTTGGTAAATATTTTATCAGATTTATTTTATTTTATTTTTGGTACTGGGAATTGAATTCAGGACCTGGCACTTGCCAGCCAGGCACTTGTGCCACCGAGGTACACTGGCCCCAGATTTAATTTTTGTTATAAATGGAAATTATATTTTGTTGGCACTGATGTTTATAAATGCAACTACTTTTGTATGTTTGTGGGTGCACGTGAGTGTGTGTGTCTTTGTTTTGTTTTTGTGTGTGTGTCTTTTTGAGAGAGGGTTTCCCTATGCAGTTCAGGGTGCTCTTTAATACACTATGTAGCTCAGGTTGGTCTCGAACTCACAGTGACCCTCCTGCCTCAGCCTCCCAGGTACTGGGGTTACAGGCATGTGCCACCGCACCCAGCTTTACAATTGCTTTTCATTGATAGTTTACACACTGAATCTAACTTTTCCATTGTTAAAGTTTACGATTCAGCCGGTGGTTTTTTACTATGTTTACAAGGTTGTCTGCTTCCGGAAGGTGTTCATCAAGTCTGCAGAAGCTTTTCCCCAGCCTGGCTCCTCCTCAACACCCTCCCTCAGGCCCTGGTGCCCATACGTCTACTTTCTGTCTCTGTGGAGTTGCTTATTCTGGACATTTCACATAAATGCAACTGCTTAACACTTGGCCTTTTGTGTCTTCTTCCATTGAGCAAAATATTTTCAAGGTGCCTCTGAGTTATAACTGTAATTAGTTGTTTGGTTTTGTTGTTTGTGGCACCAAGGAATGTACCCAGAAAATGCTGAGCTACACGCCTGGGCCTTATTACTTTGAGACAGAGTCTCACTAAGTTACCCAGGCTGGCCTCAACTCGTGATCCACCTGCCTCAGCCTCCTGAGTAACTGGGATTATGGCCATGTACCACTGTGCCACGCCAGTTTTTTTGACAGCTATTTATTTAACTATGTCCCAGCTACTTTTGGCGGGGGGTACTGGTGATTGAACTCATGTCCTTAGCCACTGAGCTAACTCCCCAGCCCTCAGAGCTACATTCTTTTCATTGTTGTAACCTTTGCCTGTAGATGTTTCCTGTGTAAACACTGAACACCTGTAAGTAATGTCAGTTTTGTTTCCTGCTTTTTGATCCTTGCAACTTGTTTTGTTTTGGAGACTTATCTGCAAGCCTCCTGCCCCCACAAGGACCTCAGATGCCATGCTGAATACATTCAGTAGATTCTGGGTGAAGGCAAGCTCATGTTGCCCCTGACCTTACTCAGCGTGACCATGGCTCCTTTAAGAACAAGCCTGTTTTGGGCCCCACAGATACTTTTCCCAGTGCGGGGGAACTCCCTTCACCTGTCCTGAGCCTGCAGAGACATTTTATCACATCTAGATGCCGATGTTTCTGTCCAGGGCCAAGGTGGTCACGTGACTTCTCTACCTGAATTTGTTCACGTGATGAGAAATTTTCCAGATGGGCCTGGGCTTGGCTTTTCTAAGCAGACCCAGTGTGGTCAGGCTGCAGAAGAGCAGCCAGGAGACATCACTGGGTTGGTTTTGCTATTTTTTTGTTTGTGTGTTTGTTTGGCTTTGATTTTTGAGATGGGGTTGCTATGAGGGTTCTGTTGGCTTTGAATCATGGCGAGCCTCCTGTCTCGACCTCCCGGATTATAAACCTGGGTCGCCGTGCCCATCTGGGTGTTTGCTAGAATTTGCTTATGTAAGATTTCTGCTTCTCAGTGCAAGCAGGGCTGGTTCCTTTCAGTGAACCTTGTAGATCTCTTGGGGTCTCTCCCGTCTCTTCTCAGGGGTCCTCTCTGTCCCCTCCTGTACACTGCTTTGGCTGGAAACAGTTGGGCCAGGGGTGCTCCCAAGGGTGACAGAGGTTGGAGGCACTGCTGGACCCCGGAGGCAGCAGCAGAGGATGGGAGAGCCGTGACCCTGAGACCACTCGGGGCCCAGCGCTCTGGACCCCTCTGAAAAGGGAGGCTGCCCAGAAACCCTCCCTCCCTGCCCTGTCTGCACCTGTACCCCTTCCCCAACCCTCCAGAGGAAGTGGCCAAGTGGGGCTGGGTCAGGGGTGGTTGACCCACTGTGCTCAGAGCTGACAGATGGCCCACGCCAGGGAGCTGTCCCCCGCCTCCCCATTCTTCCTCCTTAGAGAGGGGTCCCTGCGGACCTTTGAGAGCCCCTGAGCTGCCCTACCAGCTGCAGGGTCCCCGGCCAGCCTCTGTGGTGGGCTCTGACCTGCTGAGGCCCACTGTCTCTGCCTCCCACCCACCCATTCTCTCCTCATCCCCTCGAGGCCACCTGGCACCAGGCTGTCTTGGCCCAGCCCAGCTTCCTGGACACCCCAGCCCTCCGCCATTTGACCCATAGCCTTTGAGAAGGTGGCCTTGGGCAATGGTCATTCTGTGAACCGAGGCCCTTGCAGGCCCTCCTGGAGCTGCCCGAGCTCCCTGCAGTTCTTCTGGGTGCCAGGCACGCCTCCCCTGGCATCTGACACAGGAGCAGGACATCGTCAGGTCCCAGAGCTTCTGGGATGGGGCAGGGTGGGCAGACATGGAGAGATGGTTTCGGTGAGTAACAGGAAAGTGTTTTCTGCACAGTAGGGACCTGGTTCACAGCAGCCTCCAGGAGCCTGCTGGCACTGGGGAGCCTAACAGGGACTTGTTAGGGGACAGAAGCAGACCTATGGGTGAGAATTGGGCTTTCCGTGCTGTGTAGCAAGGTGCTTTCTTCACTGGATGCAGCTCCTTGCCTCAAGCTGAAAACCTAGAAACACACTCTGAGAACCCTGTTGGGGTTCAGAGACATCGGACTCTCTCTTAAATGTGGGACACTAAGCTGGCCTGGGTAATGCATGCCTGTAATCCCAGCGCTCTGGAGGCGGAGGCAGGAGGATCACCAAGACCAGCCTGGGGTACACAGTGAGTTCATGGCCAGCCTGAACTACGTGATGAGATCCTGCCTCAGGAAAAAAAAGAAAGGAAGGAAAGAAGAAAGAAAGAAAGAAAAGATGAAGAGGAAGGGGAGGAGGAAGAAAAAAAAGGGGGACCCACACTTTACCTTCATTTTCTGTAACTAAAATTTGAAAGCATTTATTGTAGAAATTTGGAAAGACATTAAAAGACAAAACACTGGCCAGGCATGATGATGCACACCAAATCCCAGCACTCGGGAGGCTGAAGCAGGAGGATTGCTGTGAGTTTGAGGCCAGCCTGGGCTACACAGTGAGTTCAAGGCCAGCCTAAACTGCGTGGCAAAACCTTGTCTCCAAATAAAAATAACAGACAAAGCACTAAAAATTTAAAAATCACTCAAATCCTTCCACCCTAAGATGACAGTGGTTTTAATTTTTCTGTATTGTTTTTTAGGCTTTTTTTTTAACATGTTTTTTAATAATTGAACTCACAGCATATCTTTTTTTTTTTTTATCGATACTGGGGATCAAACTAATGACTGCCTGCTTGCAAGGCAGGTGCTTATGTCGTTGAGCTAAATCCCCAGCCCCAGCACATGGGTTCTTGTTGTTGCAGTTTCATTGGAGTTATCTGTTTATATACCTCGATTGATAACCTAGCGTTTCACTTAAGGGTCCACTGACACTGCCGCGGTTAGAGGTTATTACATCACCACAACATGACTCATTCTCCGGGGCTCTCTGCTCGCTGTTAATGTCACGGCCATTTCTCACAATTACACCCAAGGGGACAGACACCTTTGCATGTGGCTCTGTACTTGCAGCCTGTTCGCTTTAACACAGTGTCACATAAGTAGACACAGGGGCTTGCTTGGGCACCAGTGCCTGATCCGGTGCAGGACGGGGACCAGCCCCGTGCCAGGGACCAGCTTGGAAAGCTTCAGGCCTGAGCGTCTCGGCCCCAGGGTCCCTCAGGAGCACAGATGGGGAAGAAAAGTGTCCAGCGTCTGCCAGGAGCCAGCAGACACTGGCTGGCTGCCGCCCTGCTGCGTGCTGGCTGCCATGGTGAGGGTGGCGATGGCTCGGCAGTCCCCAGTGGTGCGACTCTGCCCCTGCCAGTTCCCCTTGGCGTCCACGCTGTGTGGGCTGGTGACAGCTGCCTGGGACCAGGCTGGTCCCATCTGTAAACCACAGGGAGCCCATGGAGGTCAGGGCCCCCAGCTGCCCTGGCCAGGGACATGTGACTGGCACCCAGAGCGCTTAGAAGAGAAGGGACAGCCCACTGGTCCTCCCCTCTCTCTGACCCCCCTTTCTTCTTCTAGGGCCCTCAGTGGGGACCCCGCAAGCCCACGCCTCCCCAGCCATCACTGCAGAGAGGAGAGGCTGGTGGACAGCAGCCCCGGGGCCCCCCACCACCTGCAAAGGGACCCTGCTTTCAGCCTGTCACCTGTGCCCTGGACCCCAGCACCTCTCACCTCACTGCCTTCCCCACGGCCCTCCCTTAAGCCCCTTAGGCCGCTGCACCCTCCTCTCCCAGCAGGCAGCCCTGGACGGTCCACACGGGGCCTGGACTGCGGTCTACACTGCTCCCCTCCAGAAGGCTTCCAGCAAAGCTTCGAGGCACAGGCTCCCAGCGTGCAACCCTCTCACCTGGGCGCTCCCTCTGCCCTGTCTCCCCCAGCTCGGATGTGGGGTGAAGAGACAGGCCTGGGTCTGATGGTGACCGTGACATCTGTGCTGCCTGGGCATTACCTGCAGGGACCAGGTATGCTGGGTGCCCCGCAGCCCTCTCAGAGTGCCAACGACACGGTGGCCCCTCTGAGGGGGAGGCCAAGGAGCCAAGCTGTTGGATGCCCTGTTGATTGGGGTTCTGCCCTTCCAAGAAAAGCCACTGAGGACTTTTTCTATCCCACCCTCCTCCAAAACACTCTCTGAATTATAGGTAATAAAACTTCAAAAATCAGCTCCAATCAGCCTAGGGGCATGATCTATAGTCCAGCTTCTAAGGAAGCTGAGACAGGAGGATCACTTGAGCCCAGGAGTTCAGGGCCAATCTGGGCAATATGGTGAGACTTTATCTCAAATAAAATAAAGTGAAATAAAATAAAATGCGCCCACCTACATGCAGGGCCCAGCTGCCCTCTCTTCTCCTCTCCCATAACATCGGGATGACCTTGGCTCACCCCATAACAGGTCTTTTGTTTTGTGTGTGCTAAGGATTAAATCCATGTTAAGCAAATATTCTACCCCCCGCAGCCCTTTTATTTTTAAAATTTTTTTAATTTTTATTTATTTATTTAGTCTTTTTCGTTTTTATCGGTACCGGGGATTGAACTCACGACTGCCTGCTTATAAGGCAGGCGCTTATGCTGCTGAGCTAAATCTCCAGCACCTCTATTTTTTATTTTGAGACAGTATCTCATTAAATTCAAACCCATGCTGGCTTTGAACCTGCAATTCTGCTTCAGCTTCCTGGGTAATTGGAATTATAGGCGACCACCGGCTTGGTAAAGAACATCTTTATTGAGAAGTGGTTCCCATGTCCTGTGATCCACACACTGGAATCACACAATTCCAGGCTCGCAGGGCCCTTACGGAGATGTGCGACCTTTCCACAGTTGTTTAGGGCATGTATGTCACAACCACAAAAGAAACCCTGCACCCTCGGCCATCAACCCCGAGCCCCCAGCCCTGGCGGCCACTCATCTACCTTTTGTCCCTGTAGGTTTGCCTGTCTGACTGTCACCAGAAGCTCAAGGCCAGCTTGGGGTACATCACGAATTCAAGGTTACCTAGTAAGCCCCTGACTCAAAGAAAAGAAAAATGTACATAAACCTGAAGCTCTTGAGAATCACTGTCATTGTCCTCTCTCTCCTGGACAGCAAGACGTGTGTGACCCTGCTCCCTGCCTCCTGCCCCCATGGCACATCCCACACACACTCATAAAGTGTCAGCACAGGGGTGTGGACAGCACACACAGAGCTGAGCCCCACCACCACTGCCTTCCTATGAGGCAGGTGCCGACCCCCATTTTACAGGTGAGGAAACCGAGGCCCATATCTGGCGTTAACCATTGGCTCTGGGCCCGCCATCAGCACCTGTGAACTAACCGAAAACATTCCCTGAATCAGGACCAGGCGCTGGGCTGGGTCCTGGAGACACAGCAATAAACAGGCTGGTGCTGCCCACAGGGCAGTGGTCTTCTAGAAGACAAACCTGACCCTTTCGAATCAGTGCCACCTCCCTGCCCTTGGATCTGATACCTCCTATGGCGCCTGGCCCTCAGGAGCCCCAATACCCTTGCAGCCCTGCCCCCCACACTGTCCCTCTCCCTTCCTGTCACAGCCCAGGCCTCCTCGGGGCCACTGTCCACCTCGATACATGCCACCCTCCTCTCCCACACAGCCTCCACAGCGACAGCCGCCTCTCTGTCATTATCCCCTCCAGGAAGTCTTCCCTCCCCAACTTCCGGCCAGGGGAAAAGCCTCAGAGATCCCCATGTCCCTCTTGAACACAGAGGTTGCCCTCTCCTGCAGCCTGGGCTTCTCCGAATCTGGCTATTGCAGCCTCGTCTCTCTGTCCCTCATTTACAAACCCCCAAGCTCGTCTTCAGGTTCCCCCGGCCCAGTACCGTGGTCACTAGCAGTGACACACAGTCTGCTCCCAGCCATGCTTAATGAGAAGTCACTTCCGTGCACCAGAGGGCTGGAGAGAGATTCAGGGGTGGCTGGATGCTCAGGGTGCTGCGTGTCACCTCCCCAGGGCTCTGCTTCCAGGCCAGGATTTATTTGTGTGTCCCCAGCTCCCAACATGGCCCTGCGGAGAGAAGAGCCGAGATGGGGTCAGCTTGGTGGGCTCCAGGTGTTGGCTACATAGTCTCTCCGTGCCTCAGTTTCCTGATCCCAGAAAATGACATCACCTCCTGCGCATCCCTGCAGGCCTCGCCGGGCAGTTATGAGGGGCCATGGGAGGGGTCAGTGCCACACACTGAGGTCTCAGAGAGCAGACACTATTGTCTGGCCAGCTTCCTGACATTCCCAACTTGGGCACATTCTGTTTCGTTTTGCAGAATTCCAATCAGTTTGACTTTGGCTTTGCCTGGAGGCCCGGACCATGGTGGGTGTTCCCACAGAGCAGGGTCTATTCAGGGGCTTTTGCTGGGAAGGTTGGGGGTTGGAGGAGCCGCTGGGGTCCAGCTCACCAGACTTGGGACAGACACCCCGCCAGCCCCATTTCTACCTCCCGAGATGGGGACTCTCTTGTCAGGGAGTAGCCTGGCCTGGGGGGCCTGGGCAGAGGAAGGACCCTCCTGCCCCTGAGGACAGGGAGTAGGCCTCGGGCCTTCTCCTTAGTGCCTGGCCTCCTCCATGGTGGCCTCAAACAGGCCAGGGAGCGGCCTGCAAGGGTGGCTCTCAAGATGGCCGCCTTGGCCGCCAAGGTCTCTTCTCCTCCCAGGGCGCCTGAGGAGAGAGAGGGCGCCACGGCCAGGCCACGGTCACTCCTCAAAGCCCAGGGGTGCAGATTGGGCGGGAAGCATGGGGCGGAGGGAGCTGGGTGGGTGGGGGGTCGGGGAAGAGCCAGAGAGAGGGGCCGGGAGAGGAACAAAAGGTCCCTTTGTGGTGCGGGGCAGGGAGAAGAGGGCGCGCATTACCCAATGCCCAGAAGCCATGTTGGTAACAAGAGAACCATTCTCTGCCTTGCTTGGAAAACAACTTGGAGCAGAGAAAGACAGGGAGAGATTTAACCCCATGGGCGCGGGCACAGAGGCCTGAGGCCACAGTAGAAGGTGTGGGCCCGGGGCACGCTTGGGGGCCTTTGGGTCCCCGAGCCACGCCATTTCCCGTCTCCCAGGCCTGGCCTATGCCAGTGGGGCCCAGACTCCCAGCATGGCCATTTCCTGTCTCCCAGGCCTGGCCTATGCCAGTGGGGCCCACACTCCCAGCATGGCCATTTCCTGTCTCCCAGGCCTGGCCTATGCCAGTGGGGCCCACACTCCCAGCATGGCCATTTCCTGTCTCCCAGGCCTGGCCTATGCCAGTGGGGCCCACACTCCCAGCATGGCCACTTGGCCCCACCCCAGCAGCTTTTGGAGCGGGACTGGAGCCCCAAGCTGCTACCTGCCTGGGCCTTGACCGATGTGACCCTGTCCCAGAAGGCGCCGGCCTGGCCCACCTCGGCCTCCAGAGGATCCCACATGGCTTCCTGTTCCAGGCCTGTGCCCACATGGCTTCCAGGGCTGCGGCCTCCTATGGTGAAGGGCACAGCCTTTCCTGAGAAAGCCCCTCCCATCTTTGTACAGTTTTGCCTTCCAGAAAGCTTTCCCTAAAATGTAGTCAGATCTCTTCATCCCCGCCCTGCTTTCTTACCTTTCCTCACCTTCTACCCATCAGCCCCGCTGCCCAGGCTCCTGGAGGCCATGTCTGACGACAGGGCCAGGAGTTGCCCTGCATCCTGCTTTCCTTCCCTTCCCTTCCCTTTCCTCCCTCCCTTTCTTTCTTTTCTTCTTCCTTCTACACTGACAGAGCCCTGGCCCTCTGCCCAGCACCATTCCAACCTTGGGATTATAGCAGTCGACAAAGCAGACCACCCTTGCCCTCACGGAGCAGAGGTTTCACCGCCCAGGAAAAGGGTAAGAAACAAGCCTAGAAGCTAAAGGCAGACAGTCCTACGTTCCGTGGCGAACAGCAAGGCAGGTAGAGGGAGACAGAGCCAGGAGGCACGATCCATTAGACAACAGTGGCACACACCTGTAATGCCGGTGCTGGGAGGCTGAGGCAGGAAGCCTGCAAGCTTGAGGCAGGCAGGGCTACACAGTGAGACCCTATGTCGGTAGTAATAATAATAATCAGTGATTAATAACAATAATGATAAAAATGAAAGAGCTGGAGATGTAGCTCAGTGCTAGGTAAAATTCCTAGAGAAAGAGAAACAGCCTCTGTGAAGGTACAACATCAGAAAAGACCCAAGCAGAGAAGGAAGAGCATCATGTGCAAAGGCCCTGAGGGCGGATCTGCCAGGAGGCCATTGCAGCTGGAGCTGCGTGAGCCAAGGGAGGTGAAGGCCGGGGGGCATCAGACACGTAGGGTGGGAGGGTCTGGTAGTGCAGGCTAGAGGGGTAAAGGGCCCCGTTTAGGATGGGCCAGAGGACAGCAGTGCTGCTCACCCACAGTAGGGGCTCAACCCCAGGAGGGACACCTGGTAGGAGGTCCTGGCTGCCTACAAGGACGGAAGCCTCCCCCTTGGGCAGGGTGTCTGTTGTTTTATTTTGCTGGTTATTTTTAGCATTATGTGGGATCGAACCCAGGGCCTCTCACACCCTAGGCAAGCACTATTTTTAAATTTTATTTTCAGAGAGGGTCTTAGTAAATTACCCAGGCTACCTTGAAGTTGTGACCCTCCTGCCTCAGCCTCCTGAGCATCTGGGATTACAGATTGCACTACCATGCCCAGCTCTTGGGGGCGCTTTCAAGCTTTAGAGTTCTGAAGACGGTCCCACCCCCAGCCTTTCTTGCTGTGACATCAACAAACAGCCATCAAGGGGAGGGGGCACCCCACTTCCAACTTCCCGGGCCCCTGGCCTTGCAAATCCTCAACTTGTGCATCTGTAAATCACATCCACCTGGTCGATGTGTGGGTACATTAAAAACAAAGCTCATTTTTCAGGGGGCAGAAAGGGGCTCAGAGAGGTGAGGTCACAGCTCTTGGTGACTGCCAGGACTCCAGTGCCAGGGCTCCCCCTGTCTCTTTCTGCAGCTGCCCACATATCTGCGGGGTCCTCGCTGTGTCCACCGCACTCAGCACCACAACAAGCAGACACAGCAGAGAGGCCGGGGCAAGAGAGGGACGTCCAGGCCCAGGAGGGCAGACGGGCTCCCTCCAGCGAATGGCCCTGAGCCCTGATGGGCTGTGGCCCAGAGGACCGTGTGAGAGCAGGGACAGGAGCAGGTGCAATGCAGGGTCCAGCAGGGTGACCTCAGGCCGGAGCAGCACCCAGAGGAGAGGAAGAGACGGGCAGGAAAAGCAGGGACACAGGACAGAGGCCGGGGAGGGGGCACTGCAGGGCTGGGGCCAGGGCGGCCTGCGGGGGCGTCTGCAGGGGACGCAGCAGGGGCCACACCCTGAGAGCCGGCAGAGGCATCCCAGGCCTCACCTCCCACGCGCCAGCCACCTGGATGCTCTGTTTGAACCCTCATTTTAGTTCTGTGCCGCTTAAAGGTGACCTTGAACAAGCTCTGACCCTTTTAAGATTTTACTTTCTTATCCGTGAAATGGAGAAGGTATGGGCACCTTCCTCACAGCATCGTCCAGTGAAGGAATAAACTCCAGAGGGGCCCCCAGCTGGGCCAAAGCGCCTGCCTGTGGCCTGGTCCTTCCCTGGCACCACGGATCATCACCACCACCACCATCATCAAAATCAAAATCAAAACTTGAAATTCCCCGCGGCACTTAATGTTGGTACAAAATATTCCCTATCAAAAATAAATAGCCAAAGCACGTACCAACTTCCCACGGTGAACATAATCATTGCAGACCGCAAACGTGCACGAATAAAATTAGTAAATAAATAGCTAGCAGGCGTGGCGCAGAGCCTGTAACGTCTGAACTCTAGGAGGCTGAGGCAGGAGCGTGGCAAGCTGAAGCCCAGCCTGGGCAACTTAACAGCTTAGCAAGACACTGTCTCAAACTAAAAAATAGAAGTAAAAAGTACAGAGGAGGTAGCTCAGTGCAAAGGCCTTGGGTTCAATACCTAGTACTTCAAAATAACGAGGATAATAGTAAGTTTTTTAAAAAGGACTCCTTACTGATTTCTATTTTTGGGCTCTGCTCTCTCTGGGGCCACCCCCCACCCCCACCCTGCGTGTCTCTCTCTTCTGCCGCCGATCTGGGCTCCAAGGGCACCGTCCCCCCTAGGCAGACCGGGCTGAGAATCTCCTCCTTGGGATCTGTTCTTTCCCAGTGGAAAGGATGTATTACCCTCATTTCCAGGGTACTGAGTGGGAAACTGAGGCTTGGAGGGATGTCCAGGGTGGCGGGGCTGGAATTCTGACTGGGGAGAGGCCGGGCTCTCCCCTTGTGTCCCAGGCCAGGTCCTTCTGTCCCCCGGATCCATGGCCAGAAGATCCCCGGCTCCACATGATGCTCCCCCTTCTCAGAGAAGGCACCCCCACCGCCTCCCCTTGCTGGCACTCGGACAGGAAGTGGCCAGGCGGGTCCCAAGGGAGGACAGGTCCGAGGCACCCAGTGGGTAGCAGGATGAGGCCGCTGCTGAGGCTGGGCACAGCCCAGGAAGGCAGGAAAGACACAGTGGAGGACCCAGGGAACAAGGCCTGGCATGGTGACCCAGAAAGGGGGCACCGGGCAGGAGAGAAGGCCCAGAGGAGGGACGGGCGGTGACAGTGAAGGCCCCGGGCTCGGGCTACTGTGCCTATCGGGCTGCCATGCCCCCACCCCACCAGCTGGCACTGAGAACCCCCAGGATCAAAGGGGTCGGGCCCCAACAGGGCAGTGAACTTGCAGGCAGCGGGTCACGCGGGGCGTCGCCCTCGCCCGCGTCACCCACCCGCCCGGCAGCCCGGACGGAAGCCTCTAGGCCATTCCACGCGGCCCTGTCGTCAGTCGGCCAAGTCACATGTGGGCAGGCGGCGGGGCCATGGCGCCTTCCGGTGACTTGCCCGCCTCCACCCCGCCCCTCGGGATCCTGCCTCCACGTTTGGAAAACAACCGAAGAAATCAAGTGGAAACACAAATCCGCCACCCGGTCCCTCCTGCCCCCTGGGGCAGAGACCCACCCCCTCCCCTCACCGCAGCCAGGAGGA